ATATTTGATCATATCATGAAGTTCACTCCAAACCGCTACATTTGAGTGTTTTGTAAGCTAACGTAGCAACATTCACCGCAACAGTGATAACAATAAGCAGAGAAATTTAGTGACGTGTAGCTTTGCACGTGTGTAGGTTATGCCGAACACTTCAAAGATTCGAATAGCCTTTTAACTAACAAACACAAAAAAATAACTAACTTAGTCATACTTGTTAACTCCAAATTTAGAAATAACTTAAGTCCCATTCGCACCAAAGCTTAAACATGTTTAAAAGGTATAGTTTAGTTAGACACGGTTTAGATTTTTTTCCTCCATAAAAGCTGCTACATGTTGAATTTCATTTGAATCTTCTATAAAAACCTGTGTTTCAGTTTTCCGTTCCTGTTTTTCACTTTTAAAAATCTGGTCTAATTAAACATGTTTAGTTGGTGTGAATGGGGCATTTAAATTTGTAGCAAAAGAATCCGTCCTTTCAAATTTGGTGAAGACAATGATCCGCCATTTTGTACATTTTTCTTCTTCCGGTCCAAGGATTACAGCTCCCATATTGTGACGTCATTATGCACTCAAATTGTGACGTTATAAAGATTAGTGTAGAGTGACGTCATAATATGGCGGTATTAAAAGGATTTTTCTCTGTTTTCGCCAATTTGAAAAAGCAATTAATCACTGTTTTGCTAGCACAAATCTTACTTTCTAATATTTTGAGAACATTTGCATCTTTGTTCACTCGTGCGGCCTCCAGTGATCACGCGATTGCATGTGTAACTGGCGTTTTTCACACTAGAGACGGGTATAATTCTTCTTCAAAATTCCTCAATTGACACATAAACAGACGGATTATTCGTACAAAATTAAAACCGTTCGTTTTTCACCTTATCTAACGGATAACCCCTGAGACGGATATTAAATCCGTCTCTAGTGTGAAAACGGCCCTTGTTGGAATCACGCACGGGTATGGTGGTCTGCTGGGAACTTAGACGACAGCTAGCCGTTCTGTGCAAAATTCTGGGTTCTAATCATTGCTTCCTCATATAAGCGAACCTAAGGTGTCTTTCTTGATTGGCTGGTACAAAAAATTCGTATTCTTATTCAGTTGTAAAATTGTAAAACAAACGGTATCGGCAAACGTTCTGCTTAAGAGGTTTCATGATGTTTGGTTATAAATGGTAATACCACATGATTTCTTTTATAGAACCAAACGTTTGCTTGATTTACGCAGCTGTGACAACATGTAGCCTACAGATTATAACCCCCTTAAGATTGCAAAATTTCCTCAAAGTTACCGTGTTTTCAGATAAATATGAGGCTCATAGATGTCATAAATGTTCTTATTATTTTCTAGTGATATACCCAATTAAATTTTCGAAACACTCGCTTTCTTTCTCTTGAACAACGGTTTCATAATGATCATTAATGCGAACGCTTTTTTCAAGCACTTCAGCGAGTTTCTTTGCCACATCAGCCCGCTAAACAGTTGAACTAATAATTGCGTCTGGCACCTGCCTCGTTCCCAGGCGTCTCAAGTGCTTGGTAGACGAGGGGACTGAGAGCGAACAAGATGTATCGCGCAATGGACCATGGGAACGTTTAGCGCTGGCGCAAAAGACGCTGGAAGGTGGGCGAGAAAAATGAAACGGTGCATTTTTCTCCTTGCCTTTCCTTGCGCGAAACCAAAATCGCTCCTTACGCTCTCGATTACAAATCAACTCAGAGAACGATCAACTTGACAGTCAGCGGCGAGATGACCAAAATGGAGGTTGAGTTTTAAGCACCCCGACATTTTGAACTTCTCACCAAGTTAAGTTCAATTAACAGAAGTTGCTATAACAGTACTGCATAAAATTTCAACTCAGCTATTAATTATTACACATAGTGTGTTACAATTTTCCTTTCTTTTATGTATTACTAGGGGTGAACGTTACTTTTGCTTTATTCTCGACAACCCGTCTTGACTAGCTATGCCATCCGCGGGTTGTCAATGTCTGTAATAGGGAACTTAAGCACCAGACGTTCTTGGTACCACGGACGTCAGACGTCAGCGGCTGACCAAAATGGAGGTACCACGGAACTTCGTTCAATTAACCTATAACAGCACTGCATAAAAATTCAACTCAGCTATTAATTATTACACATAGTGTGTTACAATTTTCCTTTCTTTTATGTATTACTAGGGGTGAACGTTACTTTTGTTTTATTCTCGACAACCCATCTTGACTAGCTATGCCATCCGCGGGTTGTCAATGTCTGTAATAGGGAACTTAAGCACCAGACGTTCTTGGTACCACGGACGTCAACCGGAAGTATTTTTGCAGCATGACAGCCACTGCGCATGTCAAGACGTTCTTAGGCTGCAGTCACGGACTTCAAAACGCGAGTTTTCAGGTTGAAACCAGAGGTTCAGAAACGTGAGTATGAACACAGTTAAAACTGTTAACATTTGATGTCCAATATAACAGTTTTCAATCTTTGTATGTTCTTTTGTTATGTTAGAACTTTAAAAGCGTAGTAAAATTGTTGAAAGAAATTTGCAACTGAATTATTCTGTCGGCACTCGTGATGGTTTCACGTTGGTTTGCTTAGTGATTTGCATTTGGCGCGTAAACCGGGTCCCCGATCCAGTTCTGCGCGGCAAGCCATGCCGTTCGTGAATCAAGAACGTCTGGTGCTTAAGTTCCCCGATATTGCTTTAAACGGCCCGGAATAAAGTGCTGTTGTACTTTATTATTAGGCGGAGATCTTTCCCATGGGAATGGGCACCAACGGAATTCAAGCAATTCATGAAAGTTAGCATTATGGGTGGGCACCGCCAGAAGTTGAAAGCGTTATATTTAAAAATTTTCTGTGGCAGGTGTACCTCAAAACCACCCCAGAAAGCAAGCAGCATCAAGTTATCCAGTGGAAATTGAATTTACCCCCACCCCCCTACAAACATATACACACACAACAAAAATGCTCAGCTGCCTCTGGTTGGGCAGTTCTCACGAAATCATTAAACTTTATTGCCCCTAAAAGAGTTTATTTTAGTTACACAACACAACGTTTGTTCAAACGTTTTGTCATAACTCCACAGTTCAGCTTAAAGATAAGATGTTGGTCCCTAAACGTTAATTCTTGTAGCAACGCTGACGACACGACACGAATAAGCCAGCCACGCTAAAGCCACGAAAACTAAATCTATTAGTCTCGACTTAGGATACTGTCCAGTACTGGGTGACCAGTTTAAGTGCGTGCATGCAAAGCCCAAATACAGAAATAAAAACTTGCAACTGAAACCACGGAACGTATTTCCGTTTCCACTCAAGACGACTCTCGTTCGCAGTCATGTCAAGCCATGTGTATTGTTGGAAAAGAACGCGCGCAGTCTTTCTGTAGGTAGAGATGCAGAGCTCGCTGCTCGGGAGGGATCTCGTCATCACGACATTTTTCTTACACTTTTTTTAAGTTCAGCGGGAATTCCACTCGCGTAGATTCTCCATAATGCCAATAATTTCTGGTACGCAGTTATCCAATATTACTGTGAGATGATCTCTTAATTTGGGTATATCGATAATTATGTGGGTGTTAGGATCCCGGGGGTCACTCCCTATAATGGCCTAAATGGGAGGGCTCCGCCTGAAAAGGATACCTTTTTCAGGCTTTAGGTATATGAAAGGGTAAGGATTTCACTTGTATATGAAAGGGTAGGGAAATCTGTCATTTTGGTCGGTAATAAGGCCCAAAAAGGCTAACAGATGCATTTTATGGCTGTGAAAAAGTCAACAAAACGTTCTGGTTTCGTTTAAAGACGGTGCATTTACAGCAGTTAAAACGGATGCATGGTTCTAACTAAATTAGGTATGCGAAAGAGGTACCATTTGCCATTTGCCAATAGAAGGTATACAAAAGGGATACCTTTTCTGTAAAAAATGGTATATAAAAGGGTAAAGGGTTTTAAAATGTAAGGGGTGGACCTCGGCGCGGAGCCTTCCCGTACAAGACATTTTTGAGCGCCCACCCAGAGTTAGGAATGCCAAAAAATGAAGTCACTCGACTTGTTTGAAAAATCGCTCTACTTCAATATCGACCATACGCATTTAAGACCAGACGATATTGCAAAGGAATCTCTTGCACTCCATTTCATTACTTTCCATGCCAACTGCTGACGTCATCAGCATCGTTTATATTCCCGCTTGATAGGTTCAAGAGGGTCTATTGAAAAGGGGAGTACCTCGATAACACTAAGCGGTTAATTTTTTGGCTTTGTGACATGAAACAGTTAAATTTAGGCATTTTAGAATCACACTTCGTTTAGACTTCGATCAGTCTCATATTTTACTTTGTATGCACGTGTAACCTATGCACGATTGCGACGTCGTTATTTGTAATCGCGCTGGCTATATTTGGTTTCAATATACATGAAGGTGGAAGCGTTGGTGACCGCGCACAGTTGAAATCAAACATAGCTAGGCGTTCAGATACTGGAGCGCGCGAGAAAAGTTGACGAGGGAAAAAAAACGAGGGGCTCCCTCTGTTTTTCCCACTCGTTTTCCCTGCGTATGTCATTTAACTCGCTCCCCATCGTCTGAACGCCACGCTCTACCATCTGAAAGCCTGGAAATAGCCAAATCTAACAGGAAAGTCTTAAGATGGAAGACAAAAACATGCACAAATGACAACGGGAAATGGAGCAACGTCTTTAATTATTAATATGTAAGTATATCGCAGACTAATGTACAGGACTACATCTGATTAGATCTAATTGTTAGACTCACTGTAGCAGTTCCTCAACACAACATTAGTTACAACCAGCAGCATTAAGTTTGTACTCTACTAAGTAAGGGAGGGCACCCACATCTTAGAAACGCAAACTATTTCCCCCCCCCCCTCCCCCACCACTACTAGGCTTCACCTTCCTTGTGCTTTATACCTTTTTGTCTGCTACCAGTCTAAATACACATTAATTGTTTTACTCTGCATTGAGCAATAATTATTATTGATCTATCTTTTGAACGAAGTAATAAATCATGTTAAGTTTCTTGTATCTGCAAGCCTTAACTTGGCTTCTGCGTCATCCCTCAAATGATAAAAATTGGAAACATATCAACTAGGCTTGAAACCCTTCATATTTAGCCTACGTGTGGCTGCACCCTCCCCCTGACAAAGGAAAAACAGAGAGGGGGAGGGTGTGGCTACATGTATACTACTTCATATATGAATCATTCACTGACGTTGCCTAAAGGTAGGTTTGTAGACTGAATTTTTACATATCAGGCCCTGGATGTTCCAACGATGGATGGCACTATCCAAAGGATAAATCACAATCCAACTGACAAGTATCGGGAAAACCAATTACATTTTTGTACATTAGCCACTGGAGAGAGATTTATCCAGTGGAAAGTGTTATCCACATTTGTAACAACTTAGGGACAAAACGCTCTTGAACAGAACATTTAAACAACAGTACATTCCTTAACAACAACAGCTCCATAATATATCCTCCCACTGAGAACCAGTTACACAGTCACATGACTGTCTGAACATGAACAGCTCATTAACTCAACAGTCATTCCCCTTCATTGTCTACATTATACAATGGTAAACAAGTTAATTAAATTAACTAGAGAAACTTCAGTGTGTTTCTCCCATACTTGACATTACAGGGACATGGGAAATCGCCACAGGATCCAGCAAAGTAGCACCTGTTACATCGCTGAAAAGAAACACATAAATAATGTTATGATTATTTTTTCATATTTTTACCCCAGATGAATTCCGCCTAATTCTTACCCTAAATGCCCCTTCCATTTCTTAACCGAACTACACTAACCTCTTTCATACCCCAGATGGACCCTCCTCCTCCTCCCCGGGAATTAAGTCTTTCATTTGGGCTTGAATGGGGTGAACTGGTTATAATGCCGATTATTTTTGAAGGTTCAATCAACGTCTAGTAGATTTTTCAAAGCTTTGCTGATATTTTGTCCTTTATATAGTCTGTGTCTTTTTGTCTATATAATAAAAAGAACATTACGGAGGGGGGGGGGTAAAAGATTGTTTTGCCACTCCCCTTATTATAGTCTGTGCTCCATGATGGTTTTAGGCTTTGGGTATATTATGAATAGGGATTTCACTGTCTAGGAGAAGTATATTCAAAGGAAGGGAAATCTGTCCTTTTGGTCATTCAAACAAAACAAATCAAATCACTTACAGAGCAATGCTGGTCCCTATAGTCTCTGCATGATTGGCAGACTTCACAGTGGTTTCGAGGCCGATTCTCTTCATCACAAAAACTGCCTGTACACCAGGAGTAACGATACTCAGTCTCACACTCTGGACACTCGACTACAACACCACAGCAGGTCTTTAGTGGAATGGGACTGTCACAGCACGGGGTTTGTACTGATCTTTCACGCAAATGTGCACGCAAATCAAAAACCTAAAAAGAATTCAGCTGCTTGATGAGATATATAGTGGATTAAAAATCACTTATACTGTGGCATTTATGCATTGCAATAACTAGAAATCTGGTTGAAATAAAACATTCCATATCACATGTATGTAGCATTAAAGTGGTCCAAAAATCACAGTCTAAGAGATTTGCAACAAAACTTTTGTATAAAATAATTCTTTTTCTAGAATACGATCAGTCAGATGCACCTCAGAGGCAGACCCATAAATTTGTTTTATTAGGGGGGGGGGGGTCCAATCTTTGATTCAGAAAACACTATTGAAACGTTGTTTGTGGCAAATTACTTCATCCCCAATACTGTGGTACCACCAGCTCCACCCTCCTTGCAGTAACATGCTTTAATCGGTTTTTATAAGTTTCTTAGCTTCTTTGAACCCAAGATCAGACATTACTGTTTTGCGAGCTCAGAAACACACAGGACACTAAAGGGCACCCTCCCAAAATTGTGTTCTTGAATTATGCCTGAAATTTAATTGTACCAAAAAAATGTAGTGCAAATTGTTCCAACAAAAACATCAACCAGTTGAATCTTGATAAATGTGATCCTAGCGATGCAAGAATTTCAGTATCAAACAAGTAGTATCACCGGTCTGATAGGGGGGTCTGGACATTGAACACACCTTGGGTAATTTCTGCATGAGACAGATGTCACTTGTTGCTTTGTCCAAGTCCACTCCAAACTCTGCCATGATATTCAGGGGGTTTTTACATGGGGCACCACATCTACAGTCCTGACACTTGATGTTTTCCCTAACACAGGAACAGCGTTTAGTCGAGCAACCAGCAGAACAGGAGCAGTGACTCAACAGCAGTGGACTAGTTGATGACTGTAAGTAATCAGGACTTGACCCTGAATCTAAATTGTTATAGAGAGAGGTAGCCTGAGAAAACAGCTGACATTTGGCGATGCTACCCCTGGTTTCCCCGCCAAATGATGTCTGAGAAACAAGTGCAGAAATTCCATACTGATGACGAGTCACCACCCAGATCTAGGTAGTGCTTCTGATTGGTTGAAATAAATTTCCCATGTGACACGACCAATCAGAAGCACTACCCAGATCTGGCTAGTGACGCGTCATCAGTATGGAATTTCTGCACTCGTTTCTCAGACGTCATTTTGCGGGGAAACCAGTGGTGACATTGCCAAATGTTGGCTGCTTTCTCAGGCTAAGAGAGGGTATTCATTTTTAGAATTTTTATTATTGAATGGGAATAATATCATTAATTCATGCACAGCATGCAAACATCAAAAATTATGATGCACGCAGAAGTTTTTAAGAGTTACATCTCCAGGCAAATTTATTAATTTTGATCTGCTAATGGGTGGTAGGGAGAATGCAGGTTTAGTTTTTTTATTATTTAAGCCAGCTTTTTTGTTAATAGTACCTTCTCTGTTTTCTAGCCCAATTTGAGCCCGGGAAAAGTTCTCTTTCAGGTAGTGAAATTTGCCAGTAACTAAGCTCAATCACTGTTCAGTTATTGCTATGTGGTTAAGTTGATACAAGCGATTTTCATTTTGCATAATTTTTTTAAAACATTTGGCACTCTCAGGTGACAGATAAACCCTTTTACTTTTCAGATGATCATGAGAAAGCCCTCACTTTGAATCATTATTCTCGGACTTAAGCAAATCAAGCCTTATGGATAACTGCCAACTCTCAAGCATTATGCATGAGTTTCATGCCTGAGGACTAAAGACACCAATCTCACGCATCAGGGACAATTTCTAATGCCTGACTCACAAATTTGGACACATTGTTCTTTAACACATGATAAATAATGAAAATTAAATTCAATTTTCTTCAAAAAAATCCAAAAAGGCGTTGAATGATGGTCGACTTTGTGTCCTAACAAATCAAAACACGCTAAAATTGTCACCTTTTAAATTAAGCTTTGGAAGTGCTCAAATGTCGTCAGAACATCTTCAGACATTTTTGGCAACGTTCCGAAGTCTTCGGAAAGTCATCAGAAATCTTCAGAAGTCACTGAGACATTTTTGGAAACCCCAGTCATGACACGGTGAAAATCTCAAGCATTTGATTCAGAAAAAGTAGGCAGGTATTCAATAGCTGCAATGTTGATGTATTGTATGTCCGCGTATCTCTACTGACCTCTGTGTGTCCTTTTTCGCTTTGTAGAACTGAAACTCTGAATTTCCTTGATTGGTTTTGGAGGTGGCTTATTGGTGTTGATCACAACAGGGATTCTCAAAAGAGCAGAAAACTTGGGGTCAAATTTCATGAGATGAGTTGCAACAGTTGCTGATGACACTGTTAACTGAAATTCCAAACAACAAGAACCAGTTACCAGTTTGAATACAGTTGAACCTCTCTACAACGGCCAACTTGGGAACAGAAGAAAGTGGAAGTTGTAAGGAGGAGGTCGTTGTAGTGAGGTTTCAAACAAGAGTCAATGTAATGATTTTTTGTCCACTGGTGCCAAAAAAAGTGCTCGTTGTAGAGAGGTGGCCGCTAGCCGAGGTTCAACTGTACTTTTTAAGAAGGCTGGTACATTTTACACAATATACAGTTTCCATATTTTTTTCAAACTCAATATAAGTTTATAATGATAAAACAAACACTATAGACTGTTCAGGTTTGAATGAAGCCTAATTTCCATAGAATGCAACAAGATTTCCCGTTAAATCTAACTATATCAGTGGTGATACAAGACCACAAGAGACAGCAGGTGATCTTCTTGGAACAATAATTTAATAAAAATTTTACACCTCTATTTCTCTAGATGTTGGTTGGGTCCACTTTAGCTTAAAAACTTTGACATAATAATGACCAGGTGCTAATTCAAAATTTCCACTTAAAGGATGGGCCCTTATTAGGACATTCTATGGAAGGCATGACTCCGACAGGCCCTTATTTCTTAAAATGTGATTCCTACAGGTCCCTTATCTCGTCACACAGTATGGAGGGCAGGATTCCGACTGGTCCTTATCACACAAATTGTGAAACCTACAGGTCCCAGCTCTCCCAATTCCCATGGGTCTTGTAGTAATCTGAACAATCCAAGATTTTAGCAGGCCCTTGTGGGTAAAATCCTAATTCCGAAACCTTGTATTGTAGTAAAAAATATCAGATTCTGACAGGGTCCTTCTGGATATTACTAAATTATGCCTTCCATTGGGGGGTGGGGATAAAAAGTGGAATGTCCCATTGAAAGGAGGGCGCTTAATCCAGGGAAGCATTTATTAACTTCTGCTCTTGGCAATAAAGACAATCAAGTGTACCTCTATACACTCCCATTTAAACAGTTTCACAGAGTTACTGTATCAATTAAGTGGCGATAGAAACAAGTTTTCCTTGTATCTCTTCTATTAAAGAAAGTCAAGGGGGAGGGGAAGAGGCACTTATTTGAGAGGTGCTCTTGTTTGGTTTTTTGGCCAAGGGGGTGGGCACTTATTCGGGGGAGGGCACTTAAAAGAGCATTGGCACTTCTTCATGGAAATACAGTATTTCCTTTGACATCAACGTACCTTGTGATATGGAACATTCGTCAACTGGCCATTCGTCAAATCCACTGAGTTTAACGTATTGTACTGGTGCTTGGTAACGACTCCACGTGGTCTGTGCTGCATTATCTGTTTTCCCAGCCACATGGTAGGGACAGTGTTGACTTCTATGACGACTTCAGTTGGAAGTATTCTTGTTATGTTTATACCAACTACTGTCATGAAAGGGACTTCTATACAGGCCATGTATTTGCTGTTCTCTGAGTTTGGTTGGTTTTCCTGTGCAGTGACATCACTGCTATGTAATGGAAACTCGTACACAAATTTCCTACAACAGCACAATAACACAGTGTAATCTTAATATTATCTTATTTAAAGGATTTATTTACGCTTGAGACAAATCTACACTTCTCAATCATGGTAACTAAACATTGACCACTAATATGATTGAAGGCACATATTTGTTATTTTACCTCCTCTCTTATGGAATCTCCTTAGCTATAATTTGTGAGGTGAAAGAACCAAAAACCAAACTAGTGAGTGCTAACTGACACGTCCCCTGAAAGCTCCAAAACTGATAAACCTGAGTCCCTCCGTGTCCCCAACTACACACTTTCCAGATTGAATTTGAAGTTGGTTTTGAGGAAAACCAACATTCTTTGAGGAAAACTGGAGTGCGTGCCCTCATAGGGGGAGTCAGGTGTGTGGTGTGGGGATGTGGGGGGGGTCTGTATATCCCTTGTCTGAATTTCAAAACACTTTTTTTTGCATACTGAAGAGGAAGCCATGTCCCTCTGGTTATTTTACTATTTTATGCATTTCTTCATTTCTGTCACATTTCAATTAAAGCCCTAAGAGTGATCAGCGTCAAATTTCTCCTAACTGCTTCTAATATCACTGCTTTACAAAACACAGTGGTCATGAGAATTGAGGACATGATCACACTAGATGAATCTAACTGATACTTCAACAAATTCTCCCCACTACTTCTACTGAAAATGTATAGGTACAGGGACAACAAATGAGAATTTGAATTTTGATGTTAAGGTTTAAAGGGTTTACCCATTGTGTCATTTGTTGCCATTGTAGTTGTCTTATGTTGATGTTTCAGGGCCATGTTGCTTGTCGGAATTTTACCCCGACAGATCAGGAGTACCAGACTATAATGCCTTCATGAGAACATGTAGGCAGTTTGCTAGACTGACAGTCTAATGTGAGCATGTTCTCTCCTTTGGATGGCACTAATATGATAGCACTACATCTTTACACAGGGCTTAGCTTGAAGGACAGGCACTATGGGCTAATAATCCTACCTCTGACTGAATATGACTTTGAGCCTTGACACAGCTTGACTCCTGCGCTGATACTAAAAAGTAATAGATCAAGGGAATTATTCTGAAGGAGATACTCAGCAGAAAAATACTATTTGATTAAAACCCCGAACAGGACCAAAATTAAACTGGGCATATAGCTCACAGACAGTCTTTTGACCCTCCTGGTTTAATACATAAAACAAGGCTGTGCTCTGAGACAAATAATTATTCTACAGAGCCCGAAGCTCTGAAGCAGTGAAATCCAGGGTGCCCAGCACACAATTTCTATCCAAAAGCTGAGGTTTCCTAGTTGCCCAAGAGCAAAGTTAAGGCACCAGGGGGCCTCTAGGCACATAAAAACATGGCCCTTATATTTCTATATACAGCTGTAGGTCAGGGAGAAAGAATGATAATTTTTCTCCATTGCTAGCTGTAGTTCTTGTTTCTGCTAATTTTAAGCTCTGCTACATTAATGACTTCTTTAAAATCACTGGAGGTACAACAAACATCAGCTATCCTTGTTGTCAACCCACTTTTCTTCCAATGTAAAATTAACACAGTTGTCTGTTTCAGAACCTTTTAAGGAGCTTCAACCCTCATTATGGTTATTTAATAGTATATTGGTAGCCTGAGAAAACACTAAAAAAAGCTGACCTTTCGCGGCGCCACCACTTGTTTCCCCTCGAAATGCCACCTGAAAAATGAGTGTAGAAATTCAATACTGACGGCGTGTCACTACCCAGGCCTGGGTAGTGTTTCTGATCGGTTGGAGCAAATTTCCCTTGTGGCACAACCGATCAGAAGCACTACCCAGATCAGGACAGAGACACGTCATCAGTAACGGAATTTCTCCAGTCATTCCTCAGATATCATTTCGGGGGGGAAACCTTTGGTGGTGGTGCAAAATTTTTTGGCTCTTTTCTGAGGCCTTAGTATGGCTTCATGCATTCAATTTATTAAAGCATTTGTGATTTCAAAAAGTCAATACACGTTTCCTCGTTTAGATGAGAAGTACACATTTTGGAAGAATTTAAACAATATTCAACTGTGTATGAATGTCAGCTTTCCTTGTGTGAAAATACTCGAATACTCAGAGTAATCAGACTATTTTGATGAGAAATTAAGCAACTAACCTTCCATGTTCCTATCTCAAGGGAGCTCAATTCATAATAACGAGGAGGAAACTTCTTGGCATCAACTCTTCCAGTTTGAAAATCTGGGATGGCGGTAACTTCTGTTTGGCTATCAGCATGTCCAGAGTCACTTTCCTTCACAACTGGAACCTCTTGATCAAAATGAGTAACCACATTACTTCTGGATTGTCCAATCCATTCCCTGCAATAGGAATGTTTAAATTGAACACTGGTATTATGGGTGCTCCTGGGTTGGGCTTCCTGTGAAAATGTCTCAAGTACTCCCAGTGAGGTATCTGTGATCACAGGAGCCCTTGCTAGAGGTTGTGTTGCACGTCTAGGAAGAAGAGTTGCGCTGGACATGTTTCTTGGTTGCAGTTCTGGTACTGTTGTAGTGTAGGATGCTGTGTGATAATGTTCAGGAAGTCTCAGGTGACTATTCACTGATGATGTACTTGTAGACAGTGAAGTGGGGATATTATGGCCAGAGTCTCTTGCTGTAACTGACAAAAATTGGTTCTCACTCCGTGTTTGTGTAGAGGTAAAGGGCATAGTCACTCTAACATTTTCATTGATATAAGGAAGATGCCAAGGATTGGCAATTTGATCGCCAATATTGTATGATGCTACCGCAGTTGACAAACACATCTGCATCTGGCCTCTGTTTATTGACTGCAACACAAAGCAGTATGCTTCAAAGTTATTTTATGACCAAACACAAAAAATCAGCAAGGATATATGGTGCAGGGTTAACAATTAATGCTTGAATTCTGCACAACATGTTGCACCTGATGGAGTCACGTGTTACAACCTACTAAGGTTCAACATTTCCCAATGAACAGGTACCAAGCAAACAAGGTTAATTAAAAATTAATAATTTACTACATGTGAAATGTGATTGGCTGAAGGCTAAAGGTTGTAATGCTATTGTGTTTAATGTTACAGATGGCAGGTATGCAATAAAAAAATGATAATGATATCCCAGGGGGTGGACTCCGCATATGAAAGGGGTGGGGATGCTCGTCGTCTCGCTCAGGGGTGTAAATTTTGGATTTTAGTCTCACTTAGGGTGTTCTGGGCAAAACGCCATCATATTTAGCCGTGAAGATCTTGTGTAGGGTTGCACGTGAAAAAATATAGAAATATTACATTGTCTGTGTTTTAACATGGTCTCTTTTAGGGGTCAAAAAAAGCTTGGGCCATGCCCAGATCGGTCTCCTCTAGGGGTTTAATTCAAAATTTCCCATAAGCATCCCCACCCCTTTCATATGCAGAGTCCCCCCCCCCCTTCCCGAATGATATATGTATTACATTCAATGTTGCAAAGGTACAAGGAGAACAAACTGCTGCAATATTGTACATGGTAACATCAGGGGTGAGGCACGCTAATAATACAACTTAACCACTTTGAGAAATACTTGCACCATGTCTGGGCCTTAATACCCATGACTTTGATCGCCCCAGTACTTTAAGGCATACAATTGCCAAACATCAAAAACCCCGGAGGGGGGGTACTTTAGGAAGTTCTGGGTGGGGATGTGCCGCTGGGACCCTGGAACCCTGGAACCTTTAGCCTATACCAGAGCTAGTTCAGCTGAATTTTGCTACCCTATACTAGAGTAAACTCCCCAAATCCCCCCTATCCTAGAGTGGCTGTTTTCCGGTAACTACTGCGGTCACTAGCACAGTCTAGCCAAAACAAAACCTTATACCACAATCCCTAGTCTAGATAAAATTTTCAACCAACTGATCAGTTTCCTAAAAAATGATACCCTATTCTAGACCCAAATGCTCTGATTTATATACCCTATCCTAGAGTAAACTGCTTGAACACCATACCCTTCAAAGCGGCACATACCTTATATAGCCCATGTATGGCAGTACCCTGCCAAGGTCAAAAATATCAACCAGCATGCAAATCATATAGAAAGGTAACCTGAATATGACCATAACTTCTCTCTACCATTGCTGTTTGTAAAATAACACAGGAAAGAGAGGGAAATTTATTATGTTATTGGTTATAGAATTGTCATTGGCCATGCCAGACTGTTGTTTATAGGGGCTACAACAGGAAACAATATTTATTGGGCTGTTGCACTTGATAACATCCATACCACCTCGGTTGAGGCCTTTTACCGCCTCTACCTTGAAAAATTCCACAAAATTGCATTCACCCCTGAAGACATCCATAAAATATGGGTCTGCCTCTAAAAAATATGGGTTTACCCCTGAAGAATTTCGTGAAAGGGTGATTTTTTCCTTGTTCATCCTTGGAGATTTTGTTAAAAATTAAAGCTTCACCCTCAAAGAACTCCATATTTTTTTTTACCTGTGAGCTAAAAGGCTGAGCAGTGGATAGTTTTCTGTATCCACCATTGACCTCCCTACTTTGCAATAGTCCTTTAGAATGATCTACCACTGACTGCATGGCACCTTGAGCACAATGAGCAGCAGATTTCAATGGATGACCCATGTTCTGAAAATATCCAGCAAACTGGGTGGGAAAGATACTTGCTAGCTTTGCATCTAATGTATTTTGAAAGTCTGGCGCAGCTGGATAAGACTGATCTTCAACTTGCTGGGTCTGTTGCTGGACGCAAACAAAACTTTCACTTGTGCTGTGCTCATCCTTTTTGACACTTTTCTGCGATTTGACAAGATCTTCTCTGTCTTTATATTCCATGGTCTCCTCTTCTTTTAAAACAGCTTCTTCTTTAAACTCATCGTCCATTCTGTAACAACAACCGATAAAAACAGCATTAAAAAAAAGAAGTTTCAGAAAACAGACCAACAAATCCCACATCGTATCCGAGATTCAGTAAATAAGCTTAGTCTAAAAAGTAAAGCGTAAGTTTATGATCAACAAATGACGAAAGAATTTCCGTGAAGCTGCGTAGCACTTTAGAAAATAGAAGTAAAAAAAATGTTCATCAAAAATAATAAACAAATGACGAACAAAAGTGCCGTGTTTAGGTTGAAGTTATCCTTTCCAAACGTTTCGGGCCTGGCCCTTCATCAGTGGAATTACCAGTTCGTTGAAACCGTTGCAAGGTTTTTATACGCCAAAGTTTATCTTATTTCCTCCTCCGATCGCGAAAATCCTAAACGTTTAATTAAACAGCAACACAGAAACATCGCTTGTCAGTAATTTCAACCCCCAATAACTTTGGAAACACGTAAAAAATGATCCTGTTAACTCGCGCGAAGTGAAGAATGGAGAGACGCTCCAAGTGGCCTTTGCGGTATTTTTAGCAAGGAATGCTCGTTCAAATTTCTTTTCAAATAGGTAGACTCTTTTCCAACTCCCGAAAAATGAAAGAACTGTAAAAAAACGAAACGTGAAAGAAAAACGATCAGAAAAGGTGGTGAATTTCGGATTTCTTCAAACGTCAAAACAGCCATATCATCAACAATCAGCTTTTGCAATGACGCACCCGATTTTCTACTCTACTGAATTCTTTTCTGCATTTATTAGAATGTTAAAAAGATTGCTAAAGAGACAAATGATTACACCAAACCTTAAAGTTTTCCGTGACTTTCCTCCGTGTTGACATTCAGCGAAAGATTGTAGCAAAACGTGGGAACTCTGAACGCATCACACACGTGAGAAAAAGCTGTTTCCCGCGACTTCCCGCGTTTTTTAACAATCAGCCAATCAAAATGTTCTATCAGAGCTTCAGCCTCGTTTCGAAATTTTTCCCTTTATGAGCCTGCATTCATTAGCCAGCGGATTGGTTGAAAAAGAAAAAGCGAGTGAATTGGAGAATTCGAAGTAGAGTATTTAAAACTTTTGGTCAGTTTTCATAAAAAATATGCGGCTTTTGACGCATAATATGTTAACATCACACGTCAAGGGTGTGAAGAATGGCTATCCTTTGGGTATAGAGGTAATTCCTTGATATATTTCTTCACATAGTTCTTTTGAAAACTGGGCAATGACAAAAAGTCATAGTCTTCTATCAGATTCGATTTTCACGTGGTCTAGAGATTTTCATCTTTGGGATCTGCTGATGCTAAAAATTTTCTCAGTAGCTCCCCATGTCTGTCTCAAAAGTTATGTGTATATAATTATTATATTGTAGGGGGACAATGGGGTATTGAACAACTAAATATCACAATGAAAAATTTCCAAATACCAAATTACTACATTGAAAATGCAGTAATACAGCACTTCGTAAGGTAAATTAAATAATCAGAGCGATTGTAGAATACCCGGCCCACTAAATGTCTTACTTAGAAAACTGCTCCCATAGTCCCGCAGTCATGTTCTGTTATGCCGAATACTTCAATCTAAGTGAGTGAAATGCGTGCTCCTGAAAACCTTCATTTCCGCAGTCGCTGAATAGTGAAGATAAAAGTGTATACAACTAGTGCTCCCGCAGTCGATGTCAAGTAGCTAGTGTGCTTATAGAACAAGGTATCCTTGTGCTCCCGCAGTCCCATGCTCCTGCAGCTGATGTCGGAATTTATTATGCAAATTCGGCAACTGCGGTACTGCGGGAGCAGTTTTTTAAGTTATGTATTTAGTGGGCCAGGTATTCTGCAATTTAGCCAAATGGGAGCAATCTAAATATTATTAGCTAAAGTTGTCTACCTAGCCTCCTTCGCAGCCATTACTTTTAAGGGTCGTCATGCAACACTCCTCCCCAGGGAAGAAGCTCTGCGTGACACATTGTGGTGCTTGAAAACAGTTTCAAATTTGTATGCCTGTATTATAAAAGCTGGCTAATAAAGACCCAAATCACAAAGAACTTGGGACTGTAGGACTCTCTTGTAGTACTTTATTCCACAACTATTAATTGACCCAATAATTAGCAAAATGTGTACATCAGTCCATCGTTTCTCAGATAATGGTCGACTACCCAGCATCTGCCCGCAGCATGATACTTACAATTATTGTAACCTCTAGTTTTATATTAATGTTATTTTTTATTAGGTTGTTAATGTTGTTGTAAATGAAGTAGACTTCAACCCAGAGTTTATTTCCCGTATGATTGCTAAAGTAGAGTGGAGTGCTCTTCTGAAAGCAGCTGAACAGGTGAGAGGAACATTTAACCCCTGTATATTCTTAGAGCAGCAAGCATCTGATTTTTCTGTAAGTAACATTGCTAACCAAACATCAAGCTCTTGAGAATAAAGAAAAACTGTAATCACCAAGTAAAAAGATTTGGATCAAATTCTCCTTGTCAGCTCCACAGAAGTATTTCGAGAACGAAGTGGAGAAAATGCCTGCTGATATTAAGGCTGGTTTTTATTAGAGTCAGAGACATGATGTTATTGGAATCGTAAGAGTGATTATGATATAGTGAAAATAAAAATCGAAGTTGTAAGGAATGACAAAAGGCTCATAATTTACACCATTTCCATTTTCTTCTGACTCTTTTTGCGACCTGTTTTTGCTTAACCCTTTAAACCCTAAGATCAAAATTAGAATTCTCATTTGTTGCCCCTATTCATTTCCTACAGAATTAGTGGGGAGAAGTTGTCAAAATATCAAGCAAATTCATCTTGTGAGATCATGTCCATAATTCTCATGAACACTCTATTTTACAAAGCATTGATATTACAAGGAGAAATTTGATGCTGATCACTCTTAGGGTGACAAGAGTTTGAGACTGCAACACTGTCAACTTCATTATTTTTCTTATGATCAGGTAGGAAGGTCTGAAGGTCTGCCCAGTGAAGTTATCCCAGACTATGAAAAGGATGAAGAGTTCTTAAAGAAGGTCCACCATGTTTTACTTGAGGTTAGTTGTCAAGAAATTTTTTAAACTTTCATTTAAGCCACCTCTCCTTATTTTTGGCATGTGTTCCAAATTAACCAACCATCCATACTTACATGTATGCTGATAATAAAGAAAGAGCAGCTTTCTTTCTGCCAGTCTGGCCTACCTGCACCCATTTTAATCTGGAGGTTTTCAAAAACATTTTTCCAAATTTGTGGAACATTGCTTATTGGTTGATCCCAACTGTTTACGAAAATTTCAAAACAATAGCTATATGTACAGTGTACATGTAGGTGTGTAGTTTAGAGGTTGGATTGAAGTGGATGGAAAACATTTTGTCCAGTTTTTTTCTTTTTTTTTTTTTTTTTTCAATGATTTATTTGTACCTTGTTTTTTTGTTTTTGGTTAGGCTTTTGTACATTATTTTTTTTTTTGAGCATTTTAGTGTTATTCGAGCATTTTAGTGGCATTTTCCCCAGAAAATTTTTTTTTGGTAGCCTTTTTTTTTCTCAGCAAATTAGCATTCAAAATTCACAAAAACCTGCTAGAGGCTTTTTTGTTACTTGCAACACTTGCTGCCAGAGCACTTTGAAATTAATTTTAAAAACGTTTGTATAATGAGATCTTTTAGTGACTTTTGGGGGCCATACTTTAGGAGATGGAGCATTATATACAAAGCACAGTCAGTAGTCAAAAGCCTATTTTTGGTAGTTTTTTTCCCAGCAAATTAGCATCACAGTGAAATGTATTTCCTGCCCCTCTGGGGAATCAGGCCATACTTGATATGATTATACAACAGAATTTGTTTGGGGCTTAATGAAAAATTTGGGGCTTAATTAAAGGGTCAAAACATTTTTACAGGTTGAAGTTGATGAAGGGTCACTGGTCTGTCCTGAGTCCGGAAGAAAATTTCCAATCAAGAATGGAATTCCCAACATGCTGTTGAATGAAGATGAAGTTTAATAATTATTATATTTTGTCCTGGAAGTGAGCAAACGTGTGATTTTACATGTCCCACATGACAAGGCAAGGAAAAGTCAGCTCAGTGTAAGATAGAGAACTCTGACATCAGTTTTTAACATCTGTGAATGAAAGTGAAGAGTTAAAAGTTAACTTCACTCCAAACTAAAATGTTAGAAGCTTTTGTTTGAATGAATGGGATTTGTTAGCCTGACATAGCTGTCACTCCAGGTTATTTCGTCTTTTGGCTTTGACAATGCAGAGCAGTGCTTTTAGGTTAAAATAAAGCCCCAGATGTAGTAAGTTTAAAAATTCTGAGATTTATCAGTGCATTTAGCGCTGACAGTATGGCTGTAAGTGTTTTTTTTTTTCAGACAGGGTTTTTACACATCTTGAAAACCCTTGAACTTCAGGACTCTTATTTTGAGGTCTTGAAAGTGCTTTAAATGTTGTTTTTGTTCATTGAAAGTCCTTGATTTTTTTTTACCAAGAGCATCTATATTATCATTGCTTGAAATTGTACAATGTACTAAGTTTTTAATTGGTGAGTGCAAATGCAGATGGAATAATCATTAACAGCGTTACCATTCAGTGGTGTTTCGTTATCTTTGCTCACATGTAAATTGAGTCCAGGGGGAGTACTCTGGATTTGAAGTGACGGGGATGATCAAATGATATTTTTAGGGCCCAGGACTTGCATTTCTAATAGCCAAGCAAGGTCCTTGTCCCTAAGTGGCAAAAAATGTAGAGAATATCATGCTTACAAAAGGTAATTTAGGGGATAAAAGAACTCAGCATAAAAGTAAGTACATGTCAGGAGGATAAAAGGGGGTGGGATCATTTTTCTTGGCTCTGGGGCCTCCATTTACCTAGGCCTAAAAATGAGGTGGGACCTCGGGCCCGCTGTGCCTCTTTCCCAGATTCATGACCTCCTAGACTAGCTTGGTACAAGTGCATACATACAACTTTGAGATCAATACAACGAAATCTGAGTTAACATTCTATAATATACGATACAACATGTAGTAATTATACTCTTTAAATGTACATATTTACAATAAAGATTCCGCTGCCTTTGCTACGTTCACTGCCTCTTTCACATTCTTCTTACACCAGTGTTTTCTACATTTTTTTTTTTGTTATTGACAACTTTGATGGTCCTTATAATGCAAAACCAATCATCACTCTCTCAATTTAGGTTTATGGGAAACTGCCCACCTACCCCTCCCTGAAGCTAACATTAACACTTATTTCTCACTTAGGACAAAATGTTGGCTTAGGGGAGGGGTAGGTGGGCAGTTACCCAGAAACCTAAATTGATCTTCTCTCTCTCCCCCTACCTGGCATGTTTCATTGTAAATCATAGCATTGGCTTGTTTCCTTCTCCGCCCCCCCTCCTCCCCCCCCCCTCCCCAGGAATGCCTCCTACGGCTCCCCTCCCTCTCTCCTCTGAATTAATTCACGGTTTGTCACAACGTTTGATCCAAATATCTTCTTCTCAAATTCTTCAGCTTCATTGCGATTTTTCCTCATCAGTAATTCGATCAATGCGACTCGAAACTGTCTTAACCTTAAATAATAAATCAAAGGATTAACAAAAGAGTTCAACACCGCTAAGCTACTTGCAGCCGCACGTATGGCCCATAATGTTCCTAAGGTTACGATGTCTTTCAGGCACTCTATACTAATCCTAAAAATAACCATAGGCATGAAACTTATTATTACAAATGCAATGATCGTCAGTGTTAATTTAAAAGGCTCGCTTTTGAGATAAAAAGTTTTCTCTTGTCGCAGAATCGACTTGCTGAGAGGATATTTGTTTTTCATGTCGGCGAGCCTCTCGATAGATTATCGCATTACAAAGAAGGATGATCGCAATAAATGCAGATACGAGCACACTGTTAATAACTTCAAACAATCCATGGTCGAGGAAGAATACGATGTGAATGATTACAGTCAGTGTCCATGCAAGAGCCGTGCCAGTCAGTACACGGGCCTTGGTAACGGCTTGAATGTAGACATAGGGACGCGTGATAGCAATGCACCGATCCATAGTTATCAGGAACAGATGAATAAAGGAAGCGAACATGAAAAAGTGAGCGAAAAATTTGACGGCAGTTTGTAGAGAGCATGCTTTGGCTGTGGTCTTTAAGAGGTTGACCATCATAGCAATAAGGAGAGGCTGGCCCACTAATCCGACCATCAAGTCAGTCGAGGCTAGGCAGGCTAATGCAATGTTAGACATGCTCTGGAGACGGACTTTAGTCTTCACAGCGATCATCACCAACAGATTCAACAAAATAGTCATAGGGCAGGTGACGGCATGAATTACGATGAAGGCAATAAGAATACCACGGGCAAGATTGGAAAAACCAACAGGTTTACCAAGAGCTATGTCGGCAACGCAGTTCCAAAGGAACTCGTTTTGCGGCTGGTTGTGACTTGAGTTCATCTTCTCCGCTTCTGTTTCGTATGGAGCTGTTAACTCTACAAAATGTTGTCTTATTCTGCTTGGTCTATCTTTGTAACAAACGAGTATATTTAAAATTCTTCAACCTCAAGAGTGTCCTGTGAACTAGACTTAACTTCGCAGATGCCCCGCTAAAATAGCTTTCTTATTGTGGAACAATTATCAACTTTGTGTTTGTGAGTTACTTTGTCACCATCATTAAACACAAGAGAAGATGAGGAAGAAACTAATTTGCCGTTCCCCTGAAAAGGCCAGACTTCACCTGTCGTCTCGAACTTTGGTCTCAGATTTGTTCATGAATTTCAACAAACCAACCGGAAAATCCGAGGTTATTATTATGTTTATTCAAGGTTTGAAATCAGGATTCTTTTTTGCCTCGAAGAAAAGTAGCACTGCGATGTGTATTCAACTGAATACTGAGCCATGGACTACGCCAGCTACGCCACAAATGAATGAAGACATTTTAACTTGTGTTACTGGATAGTCTTGATCGTTAACTTCTTTTGAAAAGATAACATTAGCGACGAGAAAGACCTCATCAATATTAAAATTTAGTTTTACTGATTATTCATCCTCTTGATTTTCTGTGTTTCCCTGTCCCACCCGGCAGGATCGGATACGGTCATCCAAAAGCATTTTTTTCTTTTTAACCCTTTCACAGCCAAAAATGGCCAAGGTAAAAAGTTTTAAAAAAATTCAAATTTCATTTGTAAAATTCTGAAAATAAAAATTCTCTTGTGAAAGTACAGCAAAAGAGGTTTCATTACAATGGTCAAAGCACGATAGGGTTTCGACCAGAGACTCAAAAGTTCGATTACGCAACAAGACTCATCATCGATTCAATCTGGGAGTGACTGAAGAACTCAATAAAAACGTTGCCTGATTTTATGGGAAAACATGCTTTCTCAGTTTTCAAGGTCTTTTTACTCGATATAAACACTACTTACAATGAAAAACCAAACCTTATGACGGAATTTGGAGCGATAAGTATAACTTTCCCGATTACAAAAATATCAAAAATATAGTTTCCAGTTTGTTCTCTCAGTTGGCCATGTAGTTGAAATGGTTTTGATTACACAAAAAAGGCGGAGGTAGTGCTAATTAATGTATACAGAAAACGAGAAAAGACAAAATAAAACGATAAAAGTCCTATTCAGTTGAGCAGGAAATCCAGTAAGAAAATGTATACGTCTCTTGCGAAAAATCCTTAAACTGACAACAAAAGCCGCTGGGAAATGGTCAAACAAGAACATCTGATATTTCAACACAGCAAACTCGACTTAATTCTTGCACGGAAAGTTTGGGATAACAGTATCGCGGCATTTTCTTTTTCAGTAAAATATATCAATCTATTAATTCATCACTTATTTTGGAATGCTTGTCCATTACATAGCTACAGTATAAAATCGCTTATTTTTTATTAGCAAACAGTACCAAGTCCAGCAAACAAACGTGCTCGAGCAAAAAGACATTTTTGTGCAAGTTCGCATAGAAACACTATGTTCACAGTATACCGGATTAAGCTCTTTCGCCGGGCGACACGAAAACCGCTGGATTGGGGTTCTGGTATGTGCCGCCCAAGGGTCGATTTTGATCCTGATTTAAACGGGCTATCCATTTCAGAGGCGTTTTCTAGAACGGGGTACCAGCTGGAATTTTCCACTTTAGTAAGCAGCCGTTTGAAATTAAATCAAAGACAGATTGCATTTTGGATACGGTTCAATGCGTTAACAAGCAAACCTTTGTAAAATTGTAAATTTGGAAGAACAGAGTATAAAAATCCCATTTCCAGAATTTAGGGCGAATTCTAGAACGGGGTTCCCTAAATTGGGACATTTCTAGAACTTTATCAGTTTGGGAAATTTTTTTTTAGAACGGGGTGCCAATTTGGAGTCCCAGGCAGCACATACCCACCCAAAAATACCCAATGCCCCCCCGCACGAAAACCGCCGGTTTGGGTTTCTGTTCCCACATAAGGCGATAATCTCGGCGCGATTCCTGATTTCCTACCCGCTGGAATTTTCCTTGCGAGCTGTGGTTTCTCCAGGCCGGACGCTACGTCCTTTGTAGCGTAGCGTCCGGCCTGGAGGAACCACTGCTCGCGGGGTAGCCGGAGTTCTAAAACAGCAACTGAAACAAATTTAAAAAACCTGTCGTTTCTGTAACCTCGGAAGCTCTCGGAAGGTCTTTCAATAATAATCAGCTTACCTACAAAAACTTATAAAAATGGCCTTAAATCGATTAGCAGACCACACAGGAAAGGCGTAACACACGTTTTAAGTAAGGTAAACCTTTTTTTTTATGAAATCCTTTGAAATTCGTAGGTTACAGAAAGGATCGCGGTTTTTGGCCCATTTCGAGCTTGGGCTGACTGTGGTTTAACATAATTGATGTTGTTAATTCAGTAATTAGTTGCCTGTTTTAGGCCTCTTTTAGGGATCAAATAAATTTTTTTTATATGCCTTATTAACCACATAAATCACAAAATATACCGAAGAAAAGCCCAGACTGTTTTAAGCGTTTAAATTTTCCGACGAGCCCAACTACCCTGATTTTGATGCAGGGTTACATAACCACTATTATTGCCATTAACATGAGCCTGCAGTATTTTCAACTGGTCACTGTCCACGAACGTGTTTTCAAAAGTTGAAAAATATTTATTCGTTTCATCATGAAAATGCCGGTGTTTACGGTAAGTTGACCAGAGGATTGTCAGGGTCATAGCTGTTAATTTAGATTTGATATTTAACAAAGCATTTCTTTTTTTCAATTCAGGAGCCGGACACCGATGAAGTTTATGTGAATAATCTTTCCTCTCCTCATCTCGATGATCGACTGCAGGCAGTAACGTGAGTGGGCAAAGTCCTGGCATAAAATGATGAAATAGAAATTATAATCAATGTCGTTTAAATATTTTAGATGAGTATCGATGTTTTTTCCTCGTAATATCTGCGTGAATTCGATCAATGTAAGCTTATAATTATGTTGCTGCCAACAGATCGTCAGTTGATCGTGATCATTTGAACAAGGCTTGTGCTCTTATAGATCATGGCCTAATTCTAACAAAATAAATACTCATAGGGGAGAGATTGGCCGAAGAATACTTGGCCACTTCTCTCCCCATCAGTGTATAAGATATTGCTCCTTTGTCCTTTTATGCTCCATGCCAGGTGTCCCGGTAATCAAAAGTGCTTCCCCTGACTGAAAATTATTTGGGGGTGACCCATTCCCAGTTATCCAGTGCTGTCAACTCTCCTGGATAATCCGGGAGACTCCAGATTTTGGACCATATCTCTCGGTCTCCATATTAGAGTCTGATATCTCCCGGATAATTGCCAAAGTTTCTATTTCTTGTAGACTCGACTTTCCGACCATAAAATTTCAAATATTTTGTGTTGTTTAAGCTACTGTTAACGTGGAACATTTTCTCATAAATTTTGGTATGCCACTGTAATTTAAGCAATAATGTGGCTAAATATGAACTGTTGATGTGCTATATACGTCGATTGGAATCAAAGAGCATTTTTGGCACAAAGTGACGTCATTTATCGTGCGATATGACGTCATCTAACATTCCTTCCCTATCAATTCTTAATATTTGATGACGTGGGGGGTTGACAGCCCTGATTATCTATTACTTGCCTTTATTTAAAAAATTAATGAGAAAAGCTTGAGAGGGATGTGAATACTGTGGTAGTCTCCCTCATACAACTCTCAACTCTGCCCGCAAATTATAGCAGACAACTTGGGATGAGGTAATATCTAGACTCAGTTATCTCAAGAACCCATTGAAACAGTGAGATTGTGGGCTCTTTAATGTCACATTGTTTTCTGGCCTGCAAATCTTAACTGAACCATTAAGGGGATTTGCTCTTAAACCTGTGTTTTTCTTTGTCATCATCATCCTCATCATTATAATTATCATCATCATCATCTTTGTCATCACCCAGCACCACTGCACCACCATCATTACCATCATTAGTTTATCAGTTCCACTGTTACCTGATACCCTCTTTAAATATCATCATCATCATCATCATCTTTGTCATCACCCAGCACCACTACACAACCATCATCACCATCATTAGTTTATCAGTTCCACTGTTACGTGATACCCTGTTTAAATATCATCATCATCATCATCATCATCATTATCTTTGTCATCACTCAGCACCACTGCACCACCATCATCACCATCGTTAGTTTATCAGTTCCACTGTTATGTGATACCCTGTTTAAATATCATTATCATAATCATAATCATTATCTTTGTCATCACTCAGCACCACTGCACCACCATCATTACCATCATTAGTTTATCAGTTCCACTGTTACCTGATACCCTCTTTAAATATCATCATCATCATCATCATCTTTGTCATCACCCAGCACCACTACACAACCATCATCACCATCATTAGTTTATCAGTTCCACTGTTACGTGATACCCTCTTTAAATATCATCATCATCATCATTATCTTTGTCATCACTCAGCACCACTACCACCATCATCACCATCGTTAGTTTATCAGTTCCACCCTTTACTTGTTATTTTAAAATGGTGGTGATGAAGATTTATCATTAGTGTCTTCATCATCAATTAAATTGCCTTATTTAAAGAGGGTCACTATCACCACAGTGGAAACTTCCATAATCACTGTCACCATTGATGGTCATATGCCATTGGATGTAGTGGTGGTGACCATGACCCACCACCACCACCACCAACATCATCATCACCATGACCACCATGATGATGATGATGATGATGATGATGACGATGATCATCGTCATCATCATCATCATCATCATCGCCGTCTTTGTCATCATCATCACCATTACTTCTACCACCACCACCATCATCAATATCATCATCACCACCACCACCATCTCCGACATCATCATCATCATCATTGTTTCAACTGCCAGGAGTATCCAGGGTGTTCAGGGTTTTATGCAGGCTTTAAAGACTTTTTATTTCATCTGGCATTTTCCCTATGAACCAATTCTTGTACCGTGATTTTGGTGTTTTATGTTCATTTTTTATGAGTATACTGTTTGTTATGTGTTAGTGTCAGCTTTAATAAGCACTCTAGAAAATGTATGTAGTATAGTTAGCTCACACCTGATCTCAAAAATACATCTTATTTGATGGTTTAACTTATAGTATGCCATTATTATAATATGCCCAGATGTTTTGTTAGTCACACTAATTGACCTAACGATGGGATCAGTTTAATTTGAATCATCAATTTGTCTCACGTTAATTTAAAACTTTCCTTTTAAGTCACATTGTCACCTTTTATTTATGATGATTCTCTGTACCAACATAGTAGTTATTTATGATCAATTTAATGTTGTTATCCTTTCTGTTTTGCAATGTCAAAACAGGTTTTGTAAATTGCGATTTGTCTTAGATTTATAACTTACCTCCTGCTCTCTAGACTTTTTGGTAATTATATTATTTCATTGTCACAGGAATATCAAAAATGCAGTCATTGGCAACAAAGCAAAGAAATCATCTTTTATCAGACTTAATGTCATACCAAAGGTTATTGAACTGCTTGTGCAGGACGACACTGGAATTGAGTTTGTGGTTGAGTCAGTTGTCTTGTTGGGCAGCCTGGCAAGAGGTGTAGTAAAAACCTTTTGTTAATAATTTTTGGGCTCATATACATGTATCAATGGTGTGCTCTAAGAAAATGGAGCCCAGTGCTCTTATGCTGTGAAATCCAGTGTGCCCAGCATAAGATTTCTATGAAAAAACTAAGATTTTCTAGTCACCCCAGAGCAAAAGTAAAATGCCAGAGACCACTAGGCACTGCTGGAGCACTACCCTGGTATAATTATAGATTTCATGGAGTGTGAAGTTTGCTTCATAAGAATCTACCTTTACAACTGTACTCTCATACCAAAACTAATTAACAATTATTAGGCAACAATGAGCAACATCTCGTGATTTGTTAGTGGCAAGCAGATCAATAATAACATTGATCTGCAAGAGAGACACTGGCAAATCACGATATTTTGCGATGACCGAGTTCAATATGTTTTATCATTGCATGACCAAGTTTGTTTTTTAATTAATATCTTTGGGAAACAATGCGACCTGCCATTTTTCACAGAAGAGCGATCGCCAAAAGGAAAACGATTGGTTTTGTTTACGCATGAGCAGAGTATTAGTTGTAGCCAAACACAGTATTTAGGACGACATTGCGCATGAGCAGACCATTACTTGTAGGCAGTTATTCGCATGGTGGGCTTTCGGTCAATGAAAAGGAAGAAAAATTTGCAACAAATGATAAACACTTTTATTAATTATTTTATCAATCTTCTCTGATCCACTATTTTCAGGTTCTGCTGAAAATGTTGAAGCCCTCTTGGAAGCTCACTCACTGGAAGTATTTTTTAAAGGTAAAGCATCATTGTATACCCATGAGACACCATCAGTTTTCTCCTGATAATATAAATATGTCATTAACGAAAGAGGTTATCACGCAAGAACAAATGCTTTGATCTTTAAACAAGTTCTCTCAACTATTCTAATTCTTTAAGGGAATGTACATAGAGAATTTTGCGTGACGATATTAGGGCTTATAAAATCAATGCTACCAAAATCGTAGCTTTTAATTGCCAAAAATGTTTGTTTAACACTCAGCATACTCATGGGGCAAAAATAATATAACGTATCAGACATTTTTACGATGTTGTTCAGACATTACTGTATTACTACCATAATAATATACATCAAAAAATTTCTCGATTATGAATGGCTAAGAGGAATGCAGTTTTTAGGTAACACGGTGCAGAAAAAAGGTAATTGAGTGCAGAAAAAGGGTAATTTAGTGCAGAAAAGAGTAACAAACGTGACATTCTGATTGGCTAATAAACAAAGGAACTCACTGAGAGCCAATCAAATGCGCCATCTAAATGGCGCAAAATTTGGATCCGCTGACGGACCAGTTTCGAGCAAAAACCGCAATGGTTGGCGTTTGCAGCACATTTGCTTTTGCGACCGAAACAACTGTAGAGGAGCAGAAAAACTGCTCTAAAAACGGAAACACTGCAAAAAGCACTGGTTTTTGGCTCTCTCTTTGGAAGAAGTGGTGCGTAGGTAAGGAAATTACTGATGAAGTAGAAAATTATGAGCCGGCTGAGCTTAACACTTTGCTCGAGCATTTCTACGCCGAAGTAAACAATACAAACAAGGTGAAGATTATGAACCAGAAAGCCTTAAAGTAATGAAGGCATCGCTTGATAGACACTTAAAGAACAAAGGCTGCACCCTGTCCATTGTACGTGACTGAGAATTTAGTTCGTCCAAAGAGGTGTTGGAGGAAAAAGCGAAACAGCTTCGCTTGGCTGGTCGTGGTAAGCGCCCAAACAAAGCTCGGCAAGTATCAGAGAAGGAAGAAGAAATTCTCTGGAAGAGCGGAAAACTCGAGGTAATAACCCAGAATCTCTAATTCAAACACATTGAACAATTCCATGAACTGTTCAGCCCGTTTCTGCAGCTTGCAAACTTTAAAAACATCGAGCAAAATGTTGTTTTGACTGCACGTGTGATGATATTTGCAGCATTTGAATAATTTATTTTTGCACGTAGTTTACGCGGGTTGACTTCCTATTAAAGAGATTTTAAAGCCATCTCGCAATTTTTTCATGAATATTATTAATAAGTAATCACATGATTTTTCTCGTGCAATTTGGGATAAATAAGCACTCGTAAATTTTTTCAAAGACCACAAATTGCACTCGCCCTACGGGCTCGTGCAATTTTATTAGCCTTTGAAAAAATTTACTCGTGCTTATTTTATTCCAAATTGCACTCGAAATCATGTGATTACCTGTACAAACAAACTTTTGAACTTAGCGTTCCATACTATAAAAGCATGGCCCCTCAAAAACATGCTTGCATTACTATCTTCTTGGGGTGCACCTATTTAAAACAGAGGGTTGTCTCAGGGACCAAGTAAGGGATTGTATATTCCCTGGGCTGCCTGTGCTCGAAGACAATGGATTAAGGGTTTTGTTCAGGCACTACCAGAAAGAAGGCAAACATCAGTGAGTAAGGATTTCAGTAAAAAATGTCTTCAGGTAGAGTACACACCCCCTGTCAAGTATTAGTTATTGAAAAGCCTGAGTGATGAAATCAACACACACTGCACTGTGGAAAGATTTTATTGGGATTGCTCGCAATGATTACCAGCTTAAGTAAGTAAGTAGTATGCTTGCATAGTAACTGGGAAATATGGTGATTTTTCCTTTTTACCTGGTGGTAGATTTTATTGTTATATTTAGAGAGATTTAGGGTCAAGCTTATGGCAAATGGTAAACGTCAGATTCAAGTTTAGAATTTCTCAAAATAGAAAATAAGCAGATAAAAACAGCTGGAAACAATTGTTATGGATAAAACTGGTGTCCAACTACTATCTTTTTTGTAGAGGTAAAGAACAGTAATGACAAGTAAAGGGAAGACTTGATTAGGTGGTACAAATTCATGTTTGCTGTTTACCATAAACATGACTCTTAATCTCTGTGTTGTCTTTAAATTTGTCCCCTTTTGCAGGTATTTGTCATTCAGATCCCAGAGTTGTTGAAGCATCAGTCAGATCACTGAGAACACTATACTATTCTCATCTCACTCCATGTGCTCCAATCTTTAATGTAAGAATGTCTCTTTAACCTTTTTGTCTCTCAGAAGTGGCCAAAATCAAAATTTGAAAATTTTGCAGTTATAGTATCCTTAGTCTGAATTTCAAATCCTGTCATTTTACACAATGAGGAGGAAGCCATGTCTTTGCTGATATGTGACTTTTTTTTTGCTTGTCTATGTCACTGGCACGGTTTTAACCCTTCAGTTTCACTTGTCTTCAGTTGTGTCTTAAAATTATTGCTGGAATTTTACAGCTGGGCCTTTATCATGTATGTGATACAGTGTGTGTGTTTATTGTGGGTGACAAGAGGAGCCCTTCTGTTTTATTAATTGTCCCATTTATGTTCTGCCTTAAAATCTTTGCTGATATTTTACAGCTGGGCCTCCATCATGTATGCGATACAGTGTATGTGTTTATTTTAGACTTATAAAGAGTTACATGTACATCTACTGGTCGCATAAGGTCATCTAAGTTTCCAAAAAGCAACATGGTACTAAGGAGGAACAATTTTATTATAACGTATTTGAAAGCTGTAGAAGGATGGGAGAGTCCAGACCATAAAAAGCTTCATACAGGGGGATCTTGACCATCCCTACTCTATTGAAATTTTTGTAATAATATTATTGTTCCCCTCACCCTCCAGAACCCAAGCATTGTTCCTCAGCTAGTTGAGCTGCTGTCAAGTTCTTTCTCTAATGCTGAGTGTGCAGCTTCCATTCTTTCCAAATGTTGCCAGGTAGGCTAATAATGAAGGGGGATGTGCCCTTCATGCAAAAAGCTTTCTCATTAGCGGTCTTGAATATCTTCCTAAATGGCCACCACCCATCCCTTTTTCTCTTTCTCTTGCAAGAAAGTTGAAAACCATTGTTGTTCAGATGAAAGTTCCACATGAAAGTGGTATCAAAGAGGTTTGATTTGAATAGTCACACCATAGGATTTTGTCCACAGACTGAATTTACAACATAATAAACAGTACCACAGGAAATTGCTGCTCAGTAGCTTTCATTTGAATGGTCACACTTCAGGATTTCATCCACAGAATCAAAAGTTAGAACCACCTTGTACAGTGAAATAAACAGTACCAAAGGAAAGTAATGCTCAGTAGCTTTCATTTGAATAGTCACACTTCAGGATTTCATCCACAGATTCAAAATTTAGAATTACCTTGTACAGAATAATAAACAGGACCACAGGAAAGTACTGCTCAGTAGCTTTCATTTGAATGGTCACACTTTAGGATTTCATCCACAGACTCAAAAGTTAGAACCACCTTGTACAGTGTAACAAACAGCACCACAGGACAGTACTGCTTAATAGCTTTCATTTGAATGGTCACACTTCAGGATTTCATTCACAGACTCAAAATTTAGAATGACCTTGTACAGTATAATAAACAGGACCACAGGAAAGTACTGCTCAGTAGCTTTCATTTGAATGGTCACACTTAAGGATTCCATCCACAGACTCAAAAGTTAGAACCACCTTGTACAGCATAATAAACAGTACCACAGGAAAGTACTGCTCAGTAGCTTTCATTTGAATGGTCACACTTTAGGATTTCATCCACAGACTCAAAAGTTAGAACCACCTCGTACCGCATAATAAACAGTACCACAGGAAAGTACTGCTCAGTAGCTTTCATTTGAATGGTCACACTTTGGGATTTCATCCACAGACTCAAAAGTTAGAACCACCTTTCCACCCTTCACTCTGTTTATTTTTATTTATTTATTTGCCAGAAAATCAATATAAATTACAAAAATGTTAGTTAAAGATTAAAGCAACGTAAATTGTAAGTAGAAGAATTAAAAGTATTTTTATGACGAGGAAGCTCAAATCGAAACCATGGGGCTTATTATATGAGCTTCCTCCCTAACCTAAGACTAAATATAATGAATAAATAAGCGGTGAAATTATACTTAAATATAATTAGGATAAAAAGCAAGCGAAACAAAACAGACAAAAAGCAGCAAAAAACAACATTAGGTATAGTATTATATACAAGACAGCTTAGTGGTGAATCAGCAAAGAGAAAATGTTTTCGAACTGGTATTGAAAGGGTTCAGTAACAGTTTAATTTGTTCTCTGTAGGGTCCTGCTCATCAAGCTTTGTTGTGTAACATGGGAGCAGTAAATGCTCTGATGCCGCTTCTTGTATGCGACATTCCCAAGATACAGCAGCCAGCCTTACTATGTTATTCAGCTATGTCATTTCAAAATGGTGCTGTGTCATTAGCAATGAAATCAGGTAGGTTTTATTTTTCATTCAAAATGATTATGTGAATTGTTGTTCCACTTGAGTTTTGAACAGTTTAGCATCATCATGGAAAAATGGTCTGTTTCTACCTTGGTTCAAATGACTTCATAAAATATAAAGCACAACAGAAAATTATGCAACTATCTTCTTCTAACACAGAAAATTATGCAAGTATCTTCTTTGTTGTCATCATCACATAAAATCCTATAGAAGTACAGTGAAACCTTGGAGCCATGAAATTCTGGTTTTAATAACGAGAAGGTTTTTTAATATCTTCAAAGGTTTTCATGAAAGAAAATGACTGTCGTGAGTGTTTATAAGTTTAAGTCAAAATCAGACATAGAACCAGGAAGTTCAGACAGAGGGATCTGGGAGACTTGCCAGCTGTTGGGATACAGCCTACTGGTATTTGTTTATTTGTTAAAGAACACAATTTCAAAAAAAAAGAGAAGCTTAAGCCCCTTGTCCCCCGTTTTAAATCTGCCAATGAAAATAGTGTGGTCATAATGAGTGGCCATATTTAACAAGTTTTGTGATGTAGGGTTACAGTGTGGTAAGAAGCTGTACAAAGAATGAAAATTAAAGTGATCAATACATGTTGTGCATTCTCTTTTCTGCTACAATTTTAAGTAGTAATGTTGCAAAGAGTAATTTGATAACAATCTTTCATGAGGCTTCCAGGTGTACAAGGCATAGGGTGACTACAGATAACAATTTCCTTTTTGTTCTTGTTAGCTTCTCACGAGGGTGAGAATCTGATTCAGATTTTCACCAAGCTTCTCTCAAGAGACAGACCAGATGAGATTCAGCTGGGAGCTGCAAAATGGTTAGTGTCGGCACCACAGTAAATTCTTATAAGGAGACCCTGTAGTCTTAGATAATAGCCGACATTGCTCGGCGCCACTACTGGTCTTTTGCAAAATGACGTCTGAGGAGCGACGGCAGATATTCAATACTGATGACGCGGCTCTACGAGGACTTGGCAGTGACAGGTCTTGTAAATCAGGTGGCCATTATCACATGCACACAGTAGGGACAATAGGCCCTTTGCAGCTACTCTAGCCATTTACGTGGCACAAAACTGCTGTTCTGGAGAGGAAAAGTTGCACTGGGACAAGATAAAAAAAAGACATACATTATTTTAAATGGTAATTTCCTTTGTTTATCTTGTCCCAGTGCGACGTTTCTCCCCTGGGGTACTCCCATACATTACCTATACGGGTATGTGCCACCCAACGGGGTCGTGATTTTGAAGCTCCTGATTTAGAACGGGGTATCCATTTCAGAGGCGTTTTCTAGAACGGGGTATAATATTTCGAACGCACGAAAGTCCCAGTTTTGTAAGCAACCATTTGAAATTATTCAAGGACAGATTGCTTTTAAAAATACGGTTCAATGCGTTAGCAAGCAAAGTGTTGTACTCTTTGCACCTTAGAACGGAGTATAAAAAATTGGCCCATTTCTAGAACGGGGTATCAGTTTTAGGGCGAATTCTAGAACGGGGTATCAATTTTAGGGGAAATTTTTTTTAGAATGGGGTGCCAATTTGGATTCCCGGGCGGCACATACCCACCCAAAAAATACCCATGTGCCCCCCCGGGCGTTTCTCTCCAGCATGGCGGTTTTGCACCACGTGAATGGCCAGCTGCAAAGGGCCGATTCAAACATCTCTTCACAGGTTACCCCTGCAATTTACTTGCACAGGGTGCCCATTAAGTGAGTGAATTTTCTTTAAACATTTTATTTACATCCATATTCATTTTTCTTGTTAGGAAACCTGTATTGAATGAGTGTTGTTTTCAGATAGCCTTTGACTTATTGATGGGAGATTTTTCTCCATAGGCTTGCCTCGTTGAATATGTCTTTTTATTCTTCTGTCAACAGTTTAACAAACATGCACAGAGCAGGAGCTATCCCAGCCCTAGAAAATCATTCATTGTTGATAAAGGTTAGAATCACTTCCAGTCTTGTTTCATTCATTATCTTTTATACACACATTTTGTTCTTCCGTTTGAGATGAAATACAAAATCAGACAAAATTTTCCAGTTGGCTGAAGAAACTCGTGGCTTTATTGCTCACTTTGGAAGTAGCCCGGGTCGCTGGCGGAATTTGTTTTGCGCGTGTGAGAGTTTTGGCGGCGAAGCGGCCATTCTAGCGGCTTTCTCTTCCAAAAGTTTCCTCGCGCGAACGATCCCGCGGGCTACGCAGGCTATTTGGGAGCATACCCTTCACCACACTACCATGAACCTGCCAGATATCCAGGCTACAAAAGGACTAATCACTTTTTCTCTTGCCTGGGCTCCGTTTCTCGAAAGTTCTGGAAACGTTTCGGGCGTCGTTTCGGGCGTCGTTTCGGGCCTGAAATCAAATATTTAAATGAAAATTTAGAGAAAAGCGCGGGTACTATCTAACAAACCAGTCCATTTTGTTTTTATAGTTTCATCATATTAGTGACCTTAAGCAAGGACGACGACGACGGCAGTGAAAACGTCGGTAAAAAAAATGAATTTGAGTTCTTTCAAACTTAATCGCGTCTATTTGGACCCGCTAAATATGTCAAATGCGGGCGACTTTTCCTGGAGTTGAATTCTTAAGGATTTTATTCAGGTTCAAAAAGAGGAAGGAAAATTCGCCGTCGTAAGTTCTCGTTCTCCATAAAACGGCAAATTAGGATGTTTCAGGTCTTAGTCGTGCAGTGGACATCAAAGAAATGAACTAAAAAGCGTGATACACGTGCAGAGCTGTTGTTTTGATCATTAAACCTATTGTTTTTTTGAAGTCGTCGTTGTGGTCGTCGTCGTTGTTGCTTAAGCTCCCTAATATCTGCCAAACTATTCAAACGTCCATCTTGGATGCAAACACTAAAACAACAGCTGCTCTCTGGGCCCGTTAAATATGGGGACTTTGGAGAAACTGGCCCCTCTCTTGTCATTTAATCACCAAAATGCCAACAACACTTTGTGCATCTTTTCCAGGTTCTTGCTACGTGCGTGAGAATGTGTAAATGGGACAAAGCTCTCACAGTCAGAGCAGAAGCAGCGGAGACATTAGGTGAGGAGTAGTCACTAGAATTATAAGAAAACAAGACGCTGTGATTAGTACACAAAAATAGAGAGCTTAAGCATCATGTTTATGTCAAACCGCAAACGCGAATTTGTACCACGTGACCAAGTTTCCCCTTTGCTTGTCGCCTACTGTTCATTATTTCTACGCATAACTTAGTCGTTTCACGTAATTTTTTATCCATAAGAATTTTTTGAGCTATTTTTATCTGCTCATTTTCTAATTTGAGAAATTCTCAACTTGAATCTGACGTTTGTCGTATACGTGAAGCTTGAACTCTTTAATATCACACCATAGATTCCAAGTGACAAAACTGTTACTATTTGTAATTGAATATTTCACACAGAGCCTTTACTTTGTAGGTTACAATGTCCAAAACACTCCACCCCCCTCAAACGTGAATTGATACGTTTTGAGAAAGTCTAGGCTAGTGACAGGCGCACGGTTGGAACTTGAATGAAATCAGGGTTTGGATGACCGACCTTCCCCCTTAACCTCCCCCCTCCCCACTCCCCCTTATCTGAAGGTCTGAATCCGCCACTGACACTATGAATGAACAATAAATGAAGAACAGTCTTTCACTAGATTCAAAATTCAAGCAAAGCATGGTAGTACTGTTCGCTGTTTCTGGTACACGTACATAAATGGTCTTTAATACTTAAACATGACCGTTAAAATTACTTTCGTAACTCATATGCCTTGTCAGTTACAAGTTACGGAGGTCTCATTTTGCGTGGCTCCTCCTAAAATGTTCTGTTCTTGTTTTGGTCTAGGATTTAATGTAGCCGAAACCAATTTTGGAAATGAAAACCTTTTAGGATACATACTGATGAACAGTTACGATTAAAAGATATTTCCAGCAACAACAATTAGGCGTCTTTCCCCACCCCCCAGTTTGAATTTTGTAACTGAACTCTTGCTTGGCATCGTTTTTATTTAGGAATTCAGAAGATAACGTACATGTACACATTTTTTTCAACTATGAGTCCGTACAATCGTGGTTGCATGTTTTTCCTTTCAGCCTTTCTTATTGAAGAAGATACAGAACTTCAAAGGACGGCGGCCATTTCCGATCACTTAATAAAAACACTGACAGGCTTTTTGGTGAAAAATGACCTGGATGACAGCTCCTATGCTCTCATGAGAGAGGTCAGTACCTTGAAATATAAGGGAGGGGAGGGTGGGAATGTTAAGTGCAGTTCTAGACCTAGGAATGTGATCGTGAATTGACTGACTGACTGACTACCAGTACCACCCTGGCCATACTAGAAAAATGACACCCCTCCCCTCCCCATTACTTGTTTCAGATTTGTCTCCCTTTGATTGCATATACCTTAATACCGAGGAACAGCTCTTTCTCTGTTACTGTCACTTCCAGATATCTCTATCTCCACGTGCGTTATGAGGTTTTTGTATGTGCCTTACATAACTGCCAACCATTTTTGATCCTTCACATGGATTATTATTATTTTTTTTGCGTTGGATCGAGCTTAGTCAGTTTTAATTATTTTCCGCCAGACGAAAGACATTAGTTCGCAGTGCGATCAAACTTTTCGATCCTAGGTTGTCTGTTCTTTTAAACGATTACACTTAAAATTATTACCTCTTTAAATTAAAATTTATTATCTTAATTACCGCTTTCTAAGTTCGATGGATGATACAGATATTTAACATATGACAATTTAGCGAAAGTCAAGTTTGAGTGCAATGACGAAAAAGCTTAATAATCAGTCGCGGGACTTATTGTTCCCCACATTTTGCCGCAACTTTCTCACTCGGTCGCTTACTCGAAGAATAACGGGAACTTCTCCTTGCAAGAGATGGCGGAACTAAGGCAATTGCTCCAAAGTGCTTAAAACAAACAATGGAACTGATTACTGTGCTCTTTTTGTTTTAATTAGAGTGCTTTTAAGGCCCTGGCGTCTGTTGGAGCGAATGATGAAGATATCCGAAAAAAGGTAAGACCACCCCTACCTTGTACTGTTCTGGCAGTGTGATTTTGCAGAACGCCGAATGACTCTAAAGTTTGGTGATTAGGATTAGGAAACTGAGTGAATCAAGTTCGAGGCCAGTTTTCCTAGTAATATGTAGATTTAGCCAAGGCTAAAAGCGAAGCTCTCGATAATATTTATAGTTTGCTCAAACAAAAGATAAAATCCGGTAATGCCAAGCGGCGAAGGCAACACCGGAGAACGGTGAAAAACAACAATAGGTCTAATTAGCAAGAAAAACAACTTTGCACGTGCAGCACACTTTTTTTGTACATTTCTTTGCCGTTGTTTTACACGACTACAATGTGAAACTTCCAGAAACTTCTTAGGGCCTGGGGCCCGTTTCTCGAAAGTCCCGGTAACTTTACGGGCCCGAAATCAAATATTCAAATCGAAATATAAGGAATAAGAGCGGGGTCCAGAAACTTCCATTTTGTTTTTGTCGTGTTATATGCAAAACGCGTTTTATGGAAACGAAAACGTCCGTTAATTACGTGTTCTCCCAGCCCTGTTCACTTTTTTGGGTTTGGTTTCTTTTGTTTTCACGCCGGGGACATTTTCAAAAGAAACCTTGCATTGGTGGCCGTTACGCGTTTTATGGAAAAATGTCATTTCACTGCGTTTTTCACCTCACCACCTCATTTTGTCACAAAATTTTCATGTTGTTCTTCCAACAAAAAAATGTCGCCTTTTTATCTTTTATCTTTTATCTTCTTTTATCTTTATCTTTTTATTTTTATTTTTTGTTCTAGATCTTCGCTTTTTTCTCGTTGCCGCGTAGTTTCTCTTTTTCTCTGTCTTTCTCCTGCTCTATATTCCGAATTTGTGGACATGACAATTAATCTAAGCTGCATACTTTGGGCAACACGGATACAGAAACAATTTCCGCTTTCCTTTCTCGTCTTTATTGACTCTTTAGTTGTCTGTGCTTTACAAGACGCCTGTGGCCATGCGATTTCCCGCCAAAATAACGTCGAGTTGCATTTGGGTTGCCATACCTGTTGACTGAGTTATTTTACATTGGTATGCCTGTGGTGCGGACAGGTAGTCGCTCGGGCTGTCGGTCGGTGTACGGTCACGTGATTATCAAATTTTCTCGGATGGGTAGATTACTTCATTTTCTTACCCATGGTGCTCCGCTGGCGTGCTTCGCGCGCGAGAGCTCCGCTATAATGAACCTAAATGGAACCTGATTCACTCAGTTTCCTAACCCTAATCACTGAACTTTAGAGTCATTCAGCCGAATAACTCTTTAGTTTAGTGATTAGGGTTAGGAACTGAGTGAATCAAGTTTCAGGTCCGTTTTTTAATCACCCTAAATGGAACCTGATTCACTCAGTTTCCTATTCCTCACTTAAACTCAGCGTCATTCAGCTTTCTGCAAAATAGGGTCGTTAAGATCCGACGACGGCGACGGCAACGGGAACGCCACAAAAGCAATGAGTTCAATTAGTAAAACAACTATTTGGCACGTGCATCACGCATTTTTGTACATTTCTTTGCCGTCACTGAACGACTACGACGTGAAAATGCCTAATTTCCCGATGTACAGAGGAAGTACAGAAGCGGCGACGAAATTTCCTCTCTCTTTCTGAGCTTGAGTATGGTTCTTAGGAATTCAACTTTAAGAGGGCTCGCCTACATTTGACAAAGTTAGTGACTTGGAGTAATCGCTATGAAGATTGAAAGAACGCGAATTCACTTTTTTAGCGACGTTTTCTCCGCCGTCACCGTCCTCGGATCTTAAGGTCCCTAATATCCCTGCCGGTACTGTTCGCCTGTAATGACACTTATATTGATACATCTCTGTCCAAATTTCAGTGTTCCTACCATTCAGAAACGTTTCCTTCAAATGTTTTATTTGCTTCTTGACGATGATTACATTCAGTGTTCATATGACTGACGGGTCTTGTGGGTTTCATGGGCGAGCAAGTTGTCTCAGAATTCCAGAAGCCCTAACTTTAAATTGATGCTGAGAAAATGAGTTTTATTTACATAAAAAATGGAAAAATATTAATAATAATTTTTTTATTAAAGGCTCTGCACCTAGGTTTCGCGGAAATGACTGAAGATCCGCCAGGCCCTATACAAGTCGTTCCTAAAGAGGATTAGATTATTAAGTATTGCATCATGCATCTTTAGGGGAGCAAGGGTGGCGCAGTGGTGAGAGCACTCGCCTCCCACCAATGTGGCCCGGGTTCAAATCCCGGCGTCGACGCCATATGTGGGTTGAGTTTGTTGTTGGTTCTCTCCTTTGCTCCGAGAGGGTTTTCTCCGGGTACTCCGGTCCTCCCCTCTGCTCAAAAACCAACATTTCCAAATTCCAATTCGACCAGGAATCAGGTAGACGAAGAACCACTATGTGGATGTGCTACCTGCAAATCGTTATTTATTTATTTATTTATTTTATTTTATTTTTGTTTATCCATCCCAGCATCACCTGCAACTTTTACTTTGCCATTGTTTGCCGCAAAATTTACCCGACAAGACTTAAATCGAATCCTATAGGGCTTAGCTCGACTTATAGCTCAACTAGTGTCTAAAAGAAAAACGTTGAATGGTGTTCTGTTTCCGTGGAGAGCGAACCACTACTTTTTATTTTTATCAAATACGTTAATTGGTGAAGTAATGAGTTTTAGAACGCAGCTTACGTTACGAGTTGTCTTTGCTAATAAACATGAAGTGGCATCTTTGAGAGACAAAAGGTTTTTCCATTACCTTAGTCCTGTCCCTCCCCCCTCCTCTTCATCCCACATCTGCAAATTACCGATTGAGTCCAATAGTAGCCTAAGTTATTTCCTGGGAGGCCGCTGACTGTTGTGTGGTCTTTCCTTGTAGATAATAGAGATTGAGTGTACAATGGATCACGTGGTATCAGGACTGGAGGATCCCAGTACTAACGTCAAATTAGCTGCTGTGAAGTGTCTCCACAGTCTGTCCCGCTCTGTACAGCAGCTTAGAACAAGCTTCCAGGACACAGCAGTTTGGAAACCGATCATGAAGCTCCTACAGGATGCTTCCGATAACATGTTAACTGTGGCATCTTCAGCGCTTTGCAATCTCCTGTTAGAATTCTCTCCAAGCAAAGAGGTAATCGAAGTACGAATCTGTCGATCTAACCGCGTGAAACTTTTGATGTATAGGTTATTTTAAGTAACTCTTCTTAAGCTGCCTCTTCACCTTCATTTCATACTGAAAGCAGAAACTCGATGCAATAGTTAAATAATTAATCTGCACGTCACGTGTGCCTATGTTTTCGTGGTTCTGCCGTTCAGCCGTTTTCGTGGCAGCCGTGCGGAACCGATTCGTGTTTTCCCGCGCTTAGCAAGGTGTACTTGTTTTCCCACGCTTAGCATCTCGTTGATGTTTTCCCGCGCCTGGCACCCGGTTCATGTTTTCCCGCGCTTGGCTTCTGGTTCATGTTTTCCCGCGCTTGGCAGCTGGTTCATGTTTTCCTGCGCTTAGCAACAAACACATGCTTTCCTAATTCCCACACGGCATATAAGGGTTATTTGGCAGCCCGGGCTACTTACAATTCACCTCAAACATTCAGTTGGTACAAAAGTTTTTTTTCCAGGGCAATATTCTTGGCTTTTTGGAACGGCTGTGAAATCCAAATGTTTTGGATATGGTGGGTAAAATTTCCAGCTGGTATTTCCCAAACTTTGTTTTCAGTCCTGTTTTTTTTTTCTCTATGTTTGCGCGCGCCTTGTAACCAATCATGTTACACTCTTGTTTCTCTTGTTTTTGTTCAACTCTTTTTCTCTGTTTTTTTTTTTTGATAGCCCTTGTATATCTTGTCTTAACAACAGCCATCTTGTGTTTTGATTTCAATGACGTTTTTCTCCCAATTTAGCCCATATTAGAGGCTGGCGCTGTAAATTTACTCTCAAATCTAACCCGACGTCAAGAAACTTCTCTTCGTCTCAATGGAGTCTGGGCGTTGATGGTAGGTATTGCAAATGGTTGCCTTAGAGTTCGGATTGTAAATATTATTAAATCTTAATGGCTTGATAGCTTTCAAGAGTACAAAGCCAAGGCGTCTTTTTTTCTACAAAGCTATTCCAATCAACCTTTCCTAAGTCACAGACGTGAGACCTCCATTTAGGAAATTGCTTGAACGTTTTCGCGAGCGTGCTAGGGTTCCCTTGAGTTCGCGTGTGATCGAAATGTTCGTCCTGAATTCAAGAGAATCATTAAGGGCTTAAGTGCATGAAAAAAAAAAAAATGAATAACCCGTTTGGTGTTTGGTTTTGAAAGCATATAAGGAGTATAATGATACTTTTCCCTGGACGGAACGTCAGCACCCCGAAAACAGTGTATCGGCGGCAGCCATAACAAACAACCATGAATTTTGTTCTTCTGTTTCTACAATAATACTTTAAAGCGTTTTTTTAGTTTCAGCTTGATGTGAAAATTAAGCTCAGTGATGAACAAGGAGTACAATAAAATAGAGACTTCTATCCTAATTTAGCTTTAGAAAATCTCGAACAAGAAACATCCACATTTTTGTTTTTTTGAAGAACATGGCGTATCAGGCAGATGACGTCACCAAAAACAAAATTTTAGAGGTTTTGGGACCAGACCAGCTGTTCAAGTAAGGAGCTTATTTCCTACACTTGTAGCCTGCGTGGCAGGCGCAAAAAGGGAAGGGGAAGGGGAGGGGACGGAGAGAAAAGCGCGAAAGGTAAAAGAGTCCTTTACCCTCCCCACCCCATCCTTTTTTCTCTTCATCCCAATATCCTCTTCCCCTTTCGACGCCTGCTACGCAGGCTATACACTTGAAAATTCCTTTGTTTAGTATCCGTAAAAAAAATATCTCATTAATTCCTGAAAACAAACACTATTTAGGAAATCAATGCAAGAGATTTTTTCTCATGTGAATGGCCACACTAACAAATTGTAGTAAAGCTTCCTTTTCTTGATGGTTTCGTGGGCTATTTTGAAAAGGGGCGGCAACGATATTTTGCTCTAAAGTTTTAGTGGAGAATTACTCCATATGAACATATGGAGCCCTCGAATTAATCGAGTTAATCTGGAGGCCCCAAAGTCAATCTCCGCCCTGACTGCTACCTGGATTCTTACATAACATGTAGTCGATAGTCCAACTTCAACTTCTCGGCCTTGGTTGTTAATAGCCAGTTGGAATTCTTAACCTCATGCGGGGTTGTTACTAAGATTTCAAGTTGCCAGGTAAATACAACAAGTAGGCGGAGAATCAAACAGCTAGGGATTTCTTTTGGTTCTATTTTTCTGCTGTTTTGCGATGAACGTAGCCGGGGGCCTCGTTCATAGTAGCCTGGGGAAATCCTCGGACCCTGCCTTTTAATGACAGCCCTGCTCATGGGCGACAATGCAAACTACTGGTTTACCAGTAATTGTGTTATCCCTATAAAGTCAGTTTTTTATACGGTTAAAAAATGTACTGTTGCTTGGTACACAAATATGGGAAGCTCATGATAATAATCTGCCATATTTTTGCTTTTCTAACAGCCTTCTCGATGATCCCGACACTCAAGTGACGATGAAAACATTGGGACTCATGAGGAATCTTTTATCAGGAAGAGAGGTATTGCTTTTATTTGGTATCCCCTGGGGCTCCCCGTGGTACGGTAGTGGGGGAGGGAAGTTTGCTTTTCTCTCTAGAAAGGTTACATATTCGTCATGAAAGATATTATTCATCCTGACATGTTTATCATGGTAGGCTCTTTTATCGTTAAAGAACGAGGTGTAATGATACAAGACGTGGGAGTTCTTGTCTCGGGTCATGACTAAAGGAACTAGGTATCTTTCATGAGTAGGGTGCTTGTCTCTGGTCATGACTTAAATAACGAGACATTCACAACTAGACTTCCGGTAACTCCAGCGGACTGTAGTTGTTGACAACTGAAATCTAGTGAAGTATATTGGACATTTTTTCTAGTGACATGCGATGGTGTTGAAATGCGCACATGCACAAGCAACTTTTAACTTCTGTGTTTCTAAAAGTTCCGCTCAGTAAATCGGCACCATTGCCTGATCAAGACCAGCAATACTCGGTCGAAACGTCGCTATCAACGCCTCAGTGACTATCGTGCGACAAACGATAAACGAACCCAAGCTCTTGCTTAACCCTTTAACCGCCCTAAGAGTGATGAGCGTCAAATTTCTCCTCGTAATATCACTGCTTTATAAAACAGAGTGGTCATGAGAATTAAGGACATGATCACACAAGATGAATCTAATTGATACTTCAACAAATTCTCCCCACTTCTTCTATTGAAAACGTATAGGAATAACAAATGAGAATTTGAATTTTGATGTTAGGGTTTAAAGGGTTAAATGGACACCCTTGGGATCAGAAAAGGCCTCCTATTAATAGAGGTGTATGTAAAGTGGCGGATCCAGGGGAGGGGCCCGGGGGGCCCCGCCCCGCCCCTTATTTTTGGACCAAACTGAGGCCCGAAGAGCCGAAAAAATTTTTTGGGGAGCACCGGGCCCCCGTTATCTCAGGGTCTGGATGACCGCCCCCGCCTTTTATCTGAAGGTCTGGATTTTCTAGTGATGTATGTGGCTGGGACAATGATTAAGTGTCCGCCTACTGCAGGTTTCATTGTAATATTTAATGATAATAATAATATATATTGATTTGTATTGCGCAAATATCAACCAGGAAAAAAAAAATTCATCTGCGCATTACATTGACTCAACCAAATCGTAAAATCCTAGTACATAATAATTCCAATTCAAAAAATTCTAAAAACAATAACTAATCAATCTTTAAAGTCCTATTTACAAATCGCACCTAATAATTTATTAAAAATAGTAAGTCTAAGATTCTAAAAACAATGACTAGTTATTCTAAAATCCTATTTACAAATCCTTCTTTATAAAACAATGAAAACAATAAAGTAGCTGGGAAACGCCATCTGAAATAAATGAGTTTTGAGAGCCTTTTTAAAGGCATTAAAGGGGCTGTGTCACGGCAGTCCAGTTCATTTTGTTTAATTTTACCACTCAATCGCTATGGAACTTAAAGTAAGCAAAGAAATTACTTGTAAATGACACAAGCAGAGATTCGAGACAAACAAATGTGTCTCCTGAGCATTATTTTTGCAAACAGCAGAGATCAACTTTGAAAAACTGTTAGGCTGAACAGTTTTCAAAAACCCTAATATCAATCCGTTTCAATCTTCTTCAGCTTTGCCCATCCGTGGCATCTGTTGTCTCTGTTGTGTTATTTTAACCTTCCTTTAATGATTGAAGCGGTTATTTTTGCGTTTCTCTTAATTTAACGGGCATTTTGTAATTACCTAATTTGGCTGAATTTCGTGACACTGCTCCTTTAACTGAAGATTTATTTCTAGTAATAAGGGGAAGATCGTTCCATAATTTGGGGGCAGCCATATAAAAAGATCGATCACCAAGTGTGGAAAGAGACTTGCATGATGGAATGTTAAGAAGTTTGCCGTCATTTGATCTTAGATAGCACTAGTGTCTTTCAAAGATACAAGTTCGGAAGTGTAAGTCGGAACAATTGTATTCGTTATCGGTGGCTTGATTGTATGTTTGCCTCGTGCGTCACCCAAGAAACACAGGAATCTTACACGTCAAGAACAACCTCTACCATGTCACTCGGCTGGTATGCTTTATTATTGAACACTCTCTCTGAGGAGCATTCCAAACCTTTATTACGGCAGGCACTCGACAGGTTTTTGTGACTGGGCTCCCCGTGCGATCTTTGAGGTAGCGCGTAAAACAATTTGTTCCAGAACCATTTGTTGCTGATGCTCAGATAGGTGTTTGTGCGCATGTACAGCTTCATTTCGTCATCCAGGTCGTCCATTATGACGTCATCAAACAGTATGATGATCAGGTAGTTTGTGCGTTCTTCTAGAACTTTCTGATGAGCGGCGCGAAACTCGAGCAAGCACCACTCGCTCCTGATGAAGTTTTGAGAGAGCACCATGAGCATGCGCTTACTTTGGTTAACACTGTTCATGATGTTTTCCTGTATGGGCGCACCTGCAAGAAAATCGCGATCGTGGATGCACAACTTGTATGGAGGGTCATGGGTTTCTAATCGCTCTTGCAGCGTGTTTACAACCCACTCCCAATCCGCACCGCTGTAAGAGACAAACGCGTCGTATATCTTAGTGGGATCCGAGTCATCTATACGGTCGAACGGGTGCCAGTTGAAGTGGGTGTATATGAAGACTTTTACTTCGCCGCGGTACTTATACGCTAAGATAAAAACGACGGCACACACAACCAGAAAGCAGCCAAAAGTGAAAGCGATTATTTTAAAAGTCTTTTCTTTTATTGTGGTGTGTGTGTTGTTGGAGACTTGCTTTTCTTCTTTGCAGACAAACGCCTCATCCGGAAGAGTGTATATCGCTCGTCCCTGAGCGTTCTCTGAATTACAGAGTACGTTTTCGATGTTTTGTATGTGCGCCTTTTTTCGTATTAGCCATTTCTTCATCCATTTTGCTCTGCAGTCGCACTTGAAGAAATTGTGGTGCAGTGCAAGAGTTGTAAAGGTGATATTTTCAATGTTCCTTGGCAAAACAGTCAGTTTATTTGAATCGAGAAAGATAATTTTAATCCGGCGAAGCATGCTCACTGTTGACGCGTTCAACAGTTCAATTTTATTATGCGTCAAGTGTAAGGCCGTCACATTTTCCATATAAGGATACGGTGGAATCCTCCGAATTTTGTTGTTTTGTAACTGGAGCTCTATCGGACCGCATGGCACTTTGTGGGGCATGGTGACGAGATTCCTTCCTTTACAATCAACTATCACCTTTCTATCCAATGAACGAACGAAACACAGACATTTTTCAGGGCAGTTTTCAAAATCCTTCCGACTTTTAAACTGATCTTCTTCAACCAGTAAGATTGGTTTGTCTCTCAGTTCAATTGGAGTCGCACATTTCCAAGTTAAAAACTGTTCTTTTTTCACACGCTCGTCTTTTTGTATCAGTTTCCGAATCCATCGAACGAGAAAAAAGATTTTGCAGTCGCAGTGAAGGGGATTCCCTGTCATGTCGATTTCGTAAACCTGTAGAAGTAGCTCGAACAAAGCATGCTTTGTCTCGTTAAATTCATTGATGTTTATAGTGGTGAAATTATTGTTTGCTAAGCTGATGTGCTTTAAACTCTCTTGTAACTTCAACTGAGGGGAACTGGCCGTTTTGCGATGTTGGAACACAAATGTGTTCAAGTCTAATTTTTGTAGAACGTTGTCAAGGTCTTTAAAACTGATCAGATTTGACGACAAATCAATTTTGTTAGCCTTCCGCTGCAGTAAGAGTGACTTTGGTAGGCGAGTTATTTTGTTGTTTTGTAGGTAAATTTCGCGCAACGAGCTTGAAGCCAAAGCAAAAGCTTCGTCATCAACTTGAGTGATGTGGTTGTATTCTAAATGCAGAACTTCAAGGCTGTTTAGCTCGTGGAATAATTCCTCTCGAATAGTGCCAAGTCTGTTATGGTCCAAATCAATCCTTTTGATCTGTCCCTGACTTTTAAAAAGTTCCTCGGGTAGTTCTGAAATGTTGTTGTGATCAAGTCGCAACTCCAGCAGTTCGTCAAGTCCTTGAAACAGCTGTTCCGGCAGTGTTGTTAAGCTATTAGTGCTGAGATCTATCACATGAATCCCCTTCAAGCTGCGAAAACACGACGGCCCAACAACCCTTAATCCATTTCCTTCGAGGCTCAGTCTGTGCAGAAACCCAGAAAATTCATGCGTTGATAAATCTTCGATGTTGTTGAACGCTAGATCGAAAAAGCGTCGGTAAATCCTCGAATGCACGACAGTACCGTATTGGTAGTGGTGATTTCCAGTTTGAGTTCTTCGCAATCCTCGTGGTAGCTGGAGGGTTGAGTTGCACCAAGGAAACACCGGTGGTTTGGTCAAGTTGTTGTGCGACAGCTCCAGTGATTGAAGAAAGGGCATCGTTATTCTGAGCTCTGGTGGAATTGAGCTGAGTTGTAAATTGTAAAATTGTACCTCCGCCATTCTTGGCCAGACATAGTTCTTAAATACGCTGGGAAATGTTTGTGGCTTAGATTTATAAAACGTAAGCGTGCCAAGATTTTCTGCCCCTCCAAGAGATTTATTCGCAGGCTTTGGGTTGTTATCTTCAAGCAAAGTGGCGTTTTCCAACATGTAAAATACTCGAAAGTCCGTAGCGTCTCCCCACCGAGAAAGTTCCTCGGTCGACAAACTGCAATGTCCTCGCATTTGCATGTAAAGTATAGCGTGTTTCTTTGTCACGTTTTGCGAATTAACGAAAGCAATAGTCGTCGGATAATAACAAAAAGCTCCAACGTACAACACGACGTCTTGATCCGTCGTCAGTGTTTCCAGTATTAAAGTCATGTTAATAACACATTTGTCACGAATCTTTTCTGGCCTAAAGAGGCACGCAACCACATGAGTAGGAACTGATCCGTTGACTGTTTCAAAGAAAGGCAGAGAAGGCTTTGTCATACATATCGATCCACCACAGTTTTTTAAAGGTATGATACCGTTTTTGTTCGCTTGGACCTCAACGAGTACCAAAATGGCAAGAAAAAGCGTGAAGCCTTTCATTTCCATTGTACGCATTGTGGTCATCGTTGTAATGCTCAATCGATGCTCAATCCTTTCTCAAATACGGAATGGATTATCGTCTCGGATTCCTTTAATGCGGCGGAAACAATTGTCTTCCGGGTATCTGTAAGCTGCCAAAAATAGCTGGCAAAAGCAATAGCTTACAAAACACTAGTCGTATTATTTTTCTAAAGGTAAGGCTTTGACTTTTCGCACCTTTTCTGACGTAGTCTGTATAAAAACTCGCTGCAAGCATTTTTCCGGGTTGGTGTTTAGTTAAATCTTGTTGTGATCAAGTCCAAGCAGTTCGTCAGGTCCTTGAAGCAGTCAAAAATAACTCGTTGAACTGAAAATAATATCTGGCAAACTTTGTGTTGTTTCTAAAAAAAGGTCCGACCCTTGAGCTTGTCTCACGCATGACGTAGTGTTGTTTCAGCGCGTTGAAGCGAAGTATGTCACGCTTTGAGTATTGCATGTTTACTTTCAGTCTGTCGCATTTTATCAACCACATCAGACTGGATATTCTCCAAAAAGTTTTCTTTGTTGTTACAGGCAAGATTCGTCTTACTTGTTGATCGCTTTCGTCATCCTCAAATCCTTAAGGAGAAATTTGACAAGTCACTGGTAGAAATAAAGGGGTTAGCTTTCTTTGTATGGTAAATAAAGCTATTCTAGTGAGTAATGATTTGTTTGCCAAAGTCTGTGCGCATTGCGCAGCTCTAAATGTATGTGTAATTTGTAAATGCGTGTGAGTGTAGTAACTATGTTTATACTACTACATAAGAAATTTCTGCAATTTGATTGGCTTAGAGCGGTGGTATTTCAGTTTACTTTGAAATACCTACATGTGAAAATTACAAAACCTTTGCGGGTAGTAGTATAAACAAATAACAGCATGATTTTTACGTGATATTTGGCATAAATACCACTCGTGATATTTCAAAATTGTCTCAAAATTTCACTCGCCTAACGGCTCCTGAAATTACGTATAACAATTTCGAAATATCACTCGCGTTATTTATGCCATATATATCTACAAATCATGCTATTACCTATACTAATATGTCCAAACTCAATTTGTATGTCCATTGTATGGGCTCTTGTTTTTCTACATGTTTATGAGTTGCTGTTAGTCGCAGCACGTAAACATCTCAACGGCAGTAGTATTGACATAGTTGAGCGATTTCGCGGATATTTAATCCTTTCAATCCCTCCAAAAAAAGCCTCCCAATCAATTTTTCAAAATCTTTTTTTTGTGTGTGTGAAATCCTAAGAAATAGGTAGTACCATTAAACAGTTTTCATTTGAATGGTAACGTCATAGGATTTCGTCAGTCACAGATTTAAAAGTGGTTTACGAGTAAACGGGTCGTTTATCAGTTCTCATAAATTATACAAAGCTTGGTGGGCGCTACAGAGAAAGAGAGAATGGATTATCGTGTTTTCTTATTATAGAATCACAATTGCTTAAAGGGGGATTCCCCTTCAATAGACGTAAACGTGCTTTATATAGCCATGTTTGGTATGCGGCATGTCTGTTTACTGAATAAGGGGTTGGCTCATTAATAAATTCCTTTACTGCTATTTGTGTTACGATATTGGAGTGAATTTTGTCCGTTTTGTGCTAAATGTAACGCCGTCCTGTAAAATTTTGGGCCTTCTTATATTGGGTAACTTGTAAATATGTCTTGATCTAATTAATATAAAATAATAAATACAAAATTGAATAGCTGCCCCTTGACTAAGTTCTGATAGGGTGGAGGAATGGAATAGTTAGTAGACTGGGCCGGAAGTACCTAGTCAGTCATTCAAAAAACACTTGATAACACTTGATATTTATTCAGATTAGTAGCCATACAAACTGGCTACGGAGGCGGAGCTAAGAGAAACATACAATTATAGAGAGGAAAACATAACGTGCTTACCATTTGATAGAAAATTTCGGAATTTCCGGATGGAAGGTAAATGGTAGGGTCACTTTTCGGCAATTTTAACCGAAAATTGAGGAGTGCGTTTTGAGGTAGTCCGTTCATTCCGGTTGGTACGAATCAAGCGGAATGTTGCTTATCATTTACCAGTTTCTCTGTTCCCTCTCGGTTCCAGACTCAGGCTAGACTAATTCGCCCCTTTTTTGGATTCAAACCGTATTCTGCGGTAAACCAGTAAATCGCTTACCATTAACCTTTTGACAGACACCCCAACCGAATTTTCCTGTCAAATTGTAAGCACCCATAGTCTCCTTTGCAGCCGTTTTAATTGTGTTTACGTAACGCTATACAAAAAAGAGGGGAATGGTAACCAGCCTTGCGTGTCGACACAAAAAACGGCTGCAAAGGGAAACTAACTGTTTTGAGTGTGCTATCCTATTTTTAATTTCAACTACGCTATTGCGAGGAAGTCGTTCACAACAGTCCCGTAACAGAGACCTTTAGATTCGAGGACGAGAACCACTACGAGTTCTAGATTTGATTTATAGTTTTTTCGCGTCTTGTCAAAAAAGAGACACCCCGGAATTCTTCATTGTACTTTTTTTCACCAGAAAAGTTAGCGCTGTTATCGTTATTGAAGAAGATTGAGCCCTCTCCCGATTGCAAAATGCTGAAACTTCTAATATTTGATAACTTGTTCCCGCCACTACGACACTCGTGCTAAAACTCGTAGTAGAATGACGACGGCTATCACGTTTTCCCGCCAAAATGACGCTGGTTCACGCGTGCGCACTACCTTTTATTGAGAAAATCTCGTACTCGTAGGCGTTCTCGTCGTAGAATCTAAAGGTCTCTAATACCATTCAACACAATACGTAACCAGTCTTACGCGCAGTCTCAAAATAGCCAGGAAAATTCTTCATTAAATCCCTTGAAGAAGGACGACTTGTCCGTCCGAAATATCGGGAAACCTCAAGTCGCTTTTCTGTTCGCTGTTTTGTTATTTATGTTTATATTTTTGTCTAGGAAAAGTAGCGCCGTTGTAGTACTAGATTGTGAACAGTACCACGAGCAATTGCTCGGTATCAGCTACTATTTCATGCTTGTAGACGCCATCTTTGATTTTGAAAAGAGGAATACTGGGGAGGGTAAAAAAATGGGACCATTAGGGTGGGTATGGAGGGAAAAAATGTGGGCTGTGATTGGAGGCGATGAAATTTTTCTACTCTTCAGCCGATTTGGATATACTTTATGGCGGGCCGTTTTCCCACCGAGTCAAATTCTATAGTTTTATATTTTTGCAGGAGATTTTTGGTTTGTGTAAATAGTAAGCCCCCCCGCTACTGTCTCCTCTCTTCCCCCCCCCCCCTTAAGCTCCCTTTTTGACGCCTGCCACACAGGCTACCCATGAAATGCCCAACACAGTAAACTAGGGTTGTGCAGTAGGCAAAATCAAGCTGGGCGTGGGGGGGGTTACTGCTACAACTCTCAAACAATTCTGTTACCCGCACTCCGAGCCTCGGGTAGTTATCTCCTTTTCCAGGTCAATATTGCTAGCTATTTGACGTGATAACGATGTCTTATCAATTTTAAGGGCAAAAATAGAACTACCAGTGGAGTGTTTGCAGTATTGTGTTGTACGTAAGTCGTCAAATACTGCACTAGTTTGAATTAGCAATAATGACAAAATATTTTGATGTTTGTTCTCTTTTGACGCAGGATATTGACCGTATCATGTTGTTACATGGCGCTCGTGTTATGGAGAGTGTAAAACCGATACTGGACAGCGAAACACGCACAGAAGATGTTAAAGAACAGGTAAAACACAATGCAGCGTCTCTATTACTACCGAACAAATCGCCTGAGAAAAAAGCTAAATTGGTTTCCCCGCGAAATGACGCCTGAGAAACGAGTGCAGAAATTCCATACTGAGAAGGCGTCACTTCCAACATCTGGATCGTGCTTCTGATTGAGTCACTCAGTGAAACAAATTTCCCTCGCGGCACGACCAATCAGAACAACTACCAAGATCTGCGCTAGTTCCACAAAAGTCATTTCACAGGGAAATCAGCGGGTGTCGTCGTGAAATGTCGGCCGTTTTCTCAGGCTAGTCAAAAATCCATGTCTTTTTTTACTTGTGTCTGCTCCTGCTTGCCTTGACAAGATCTGTTTATTTCCACATACAAGTTCTCCAGACTGATATATATACACTTCCTTTAAGAATTAGTTGAGAGATTATAATATAAGATCTAGGCATTTTCCTTTAGGTTATCATTTTTTTCTCATATTTGTTCTCTCGGCTTCGGCAAATAATTGATCTGCTCGCCACAGACAAATCACGATATTTTGCTCACCCTCGTCCAGTAATTGTTAATTATTTTAATCGTTTTTATTCAACGATTAATGAATGAGGCTGAGTATCTTATGAAGAATTATGGAGATCAAGGAGGGTGTTATCCATCGAGGCTGTAGGCCGAGGCGGATAACACCCTCCGAGATCTCCATAATTCTTCATATGATACGAAAGCCGAATTCAATAATTGTTTTATTATTCATCCAAAATCATTCCTAGTTTAAAAACATGGCTAAAGCATGCTTACCTCCATCGATCCATCGATATTAAGTTCATCTTCGATAGTGCACGTTTAGGTTTGTGCATCTCCGCAAATATTCTCCAAATAGCAGATGTCGCCCTTGGAGTTGTCTTCTTGCTGTTCTTGCCATGTTTTTAGCTATTTTTTCGCCTAGTTCTTACTCTTGAAACGAGTGAAATGTCCGCCATTTTTCAAGTTCACAAGCAAAACATTTCAACCTCATCCCCGGGTCTTCTCAGTCAACGGTACCTTAACCAGCGAAAACGCTGCATTTTTGACGTCACTTCCTCGTTAAACACAAAATTCTTCCAAATTTGGTCATCAGTAACTGGTTATGGTGAATTAAACGTGTGCTTTTAGCCAATCAGAATCGGGAAAATATTTCGAATGAATAATAATGTGTATTAATATTGCTGGGAGGAATTTTATGTTGGCCACTCTTGGAACTAATATTGGTACTAGAGTTAAAGACGGTTAATACGGACACCAACGGGTCATGCGTATAGGCTTAAAAGCAACAGAAGGATGTTTTAAAAGTAACTCAACTATAATTTTATCGTCAGCACCGAAGAAACCTTTACTTTAAAGAGTTGTAACACGTTTTGTTCTAATACCCCTCAGCCCCGGAGCCAAGTATGAATTTTAGGAATTCGAAACTGACCTATTCCTTAGACTGTTTACACCAGTGCTGTCGCTAAAATTTCAAGTTGCCGGGTACATGCAATTAGGAGGAGGAGAATTGTACAGCTTGGAAGTTCTGGGTCAATTTAGGTTCCTGGGAAACTGCCCACCCACCCCTCCCCTAAGCCAACATTTTGCCCTAATTGAGAAGTAAGTGATAATGTTGACTTAGGGGAGAGGTAGGTGGGCAGTTTCTCAGAGACCTAAATTGATCCGAAGTTCTTTTGGTTGTATTTTCCTTCAGGGCCGAGTTGTTCAAAGCTGGGTGAAGATAACCCAGGGTTAGTGCGAGTTTTGAATTCAGATTTGAAAGCTTAAAAAGCATTTAAGTTTTAATTCTTTTTCTCTACTAATTGATGATTGGAAGTTCTAAAAATAACAGAGAAAATTACCCGAGAAAATGCTTTGGAACACAAGAAAGAGAAACCCGGGTTAAATTTAACCCCAGGTTAAGCGCTAATCGGCTTTCGAACAACTGGGCACTGTTTCCTATAAGAGTAGCCGGGGCTTACGTAGCCTGGAAAAATCCCAGCCCCCGGCTCTTAGTGACAGCCCTGAGTTTACACCTCCTATCTTTCAGTATACCGTCCAGCTAAAGCTTGCTTTGCGTTACGGGTGGCAATCTTGGTTTCAAATGTACCGAGGGGATGGACGTCGGGGTTTGTTGCACTAGTTAGAGAGAGGCGAGAAATTTCATGTCTCCTCCAAAACCGTCCCCCTCCCCTAAGTACACTCATCACATAAACACTCATCCCCAGGCTAGACTCGGTGCATTTGAAACCAAGATGGCCGCCTGTAACACAAAGCGCTCGATCTCGACGGTCTTATGGAAAAACAGAGGACTTTGAACCCCGGAGGGGGTGGCTACTGCCATATATGGGCTATATAGGTATGTGCCGCTGTGAACGGTATGGTTTTCAAGCAGTTTACTCTAGGATAGGGTATGGGTATTATTTTTCAGGAAATCAGTCGGTTGAAGATTTTATCTAGACTAGGGATTGTGGTGTAAGGTTTTGTTTTGGCTAGACTGTGCTAGTGACCTCAGTAGTTTCTGGAAAACAGCTACTCTAGGAAAAAGGATAGTTTACTCTAGACAAAATTTAGAACTAGTGTTATAGGTTAAGGGTTCCTTTCCAGCCCCACCCACAAATTTCCCCCCGGGCTTTGAACAGTGTTACTTGTTCCTTTGCTTCCACAGGCTCTGTGCGTAATCGCCAACATCGCTAATGGCTCAACAGCTAAAGAATTCGTAATGGGTGATGAAAGCTTGCTAAAAAGACTGATGCAGTATATGATGAATGATAGCGTCAAGTTACAAATGGCTGCCACGTACTGCGTGTCCAACCTCGTGTGGAGCACAGAAGAAGGCGCTGTTGAACGGCAGCAAAAACTCCGCGATCTGGGCGTACAGAAGCTTCTACAGTCTCTACTAACAACGTCTGATGTCAACCTCTTTGAGAGGTAGGTTAATTTTAAACTGTTGAGAATACAGTCGAGAGAAAACATCCATTCCGTGAAATAATGAACATATGAGTACTGCAAATTGATGAATTAGATGAATCATTCCAAAGGTCCAAAAATTTGCGACGGAAGAGATTTGCCACAAATTTCGGCGCATTCTTGTCCCGGAATAAAATAAATTAAACGCAATTCTAAGGGCCTGTTTACATGGAGGTAAGGGACCCCAGGTAGGTGAGGTAATCGGCTAAGGTGGGGTAACCCGCCTGTCCATATAATCCCTCATTTTAATTTGATCACGTTTACATGATAGGTGGGGTGACCCGCCGCATGTCACCTCACCTATCTGGGGTCCCCCACCTCCATGTAAACAGGCCCTTAGAATTGCGTTTGATTTATAAGAATGCGCCGAAATTTGTGGCAAATCTCTTCCGTCGCAAATTTTTGGACCTTTGGAATGATTCATCTAATTCATCAATTTCCACCACAGTCCTGGATTTTACCATACAATGCACTGGCGGATCCAGACCGCCAGATAAGGGAGGGGGTGGTCATCCAAACCCTGAGATAAGGCGGAGGGGGCCGGTCTCAAAAACATTTTTTTTCGGGCCTCAGTTTGGTCTAAAAATTAAGGGGCGGCCCCCCGGGCCCCTCCCCTGGATCCGACACTGCAATGAAATCCAAGACAAGAGATTTTTTTATAGTTTATTTCATGTATTCTCATTGCAAAATACGGTCCATCGAACGCGCCCTCAAAGTGACCTTAATTCAGTTTAATTTAGAAGCAAAATCTCCGGCCGGCGTAGCAGGAACTTCAGCCTTTGAACTCAACGATACCGGCATAGCTCTCGTTTTCATGACTGTTTGCCTTTTCGAGACAGCCAATAGTCGGTGACAAGGCTCGGGCTGAAAGCCGGGCGGCAACCTCGTTCCCAGGGACCTCTCCAACTCCAGGGGACGAGTAGAAGAGGGCCCTAGGAATCAGGTTGGAAAGTTGGAGGTCCGAACACGATTGCGCGCAGTGCGTGAATTACATCACGTGTCCATTGCAATAACGCACGAAACAATTTCAGGGGAAGTAGTAACTCAAGGTTGAGTAGTTCCATCTCTGACATTGCGTGACATGTCGTAAGGCTTCGTTCAGTCTTAGGCCGATCTAATTTTACATAGTTCAAAGTCAATTCCTGCAAATAGCAAAATGCCATTCCAAAATGATAAGCATCCCTTTAAAATTGGTGGCACTTACCGTACTTAATATTTTACTGTCTTCCCTCCCTCTCTACCTTTTTCCTCTTTTTCCCCCACAGGGTCAAGACAGCCCTTCAGCAGTTCACGTGATTTTTAACTATTTAATCAATGTACAAAGCTGTATACCTGTTAATACAATATTCATTGTTGTTATCACACTCTTTTGTTGAAGTTTTTTATCATCTAAATCAAGGCGCTTTTTTTCTACTACTTCTAATGCCGAATGAGTGGCGGTGTTACAGTGATATGGGCATCCCCATTCCCAAAACCCTAGTGATATGGGCATCCCCTTTTCATATTACCTTAGCGATTTGGGTTAGGGTTAGGGTTACAGGGGATGCCCATATCACTGGGGTTTTGGGAAGCGGGGTGCCCATGTTACTGTAACAGCGGTTCGGACCACACCCTAACCCCTACCCCTCTTTTACTTTGCCTGAATAGGTTCGCCCTTTTCGAGTGTTTTTGACTATCCCATTCCTTGATCACATCATTATGCGTATTGATAACTGGTTTTCTCACTTTGATGAGTATTTGATGTGACGCTTCGTCATCGCTTGGTTTTGTTCCAAAGAACGTTAGCCTACGGAAGCAGCTGGCGACTGTAATTCGCCCCTTCCCTGGTCCCTTTACGGCGTCCTCCCAGGCCTTCTCGGTCAATGCATTTTGGTGACGTGTCCGAGACGAACGGAAACTCGCTCGAACCCCGTGGCCCGAAACTCATCGGCCGCGCGCAATTATGAGGCCTAGGGACTAGGCAAATTCGCCCCTAATTCGCCACTCAAAAAACGAGAAGGAAACTGGATCGAGTTAACTTTCGCAGAGACTTGTGGGATTGTTACCAGGGACATGGAAAAAATCTATGATTTGCATAATGGCGTCATTTTTACTACTACAGGATCCATTTCGTTTTTCCTTTTACATAACAAAAACCCTAATTTGTATAAGAAAACAAAACACTGAAGTATTCTGGTCGTAGTAGTCAAATGAAGTCATCGTGCAAATCAACTTTTGATTTTGGCCAACAGCTGACCGGCGCATCCCCAGATACGATCCCATAAACCATTGCGGGACGCATTTCGGCTCCAGTTCCCCTCTCGTTGGGCGAATATAGATACCATCGGCTCTCAACGTCTGAGTGAACATTCGACTGTCGCAAGCACCTTTGATTACCGTTACAACACTTCGCCCCCTGTCGCAATTTGTCTTTGTCACCTCTTTGACGCAAATCAAACGTAATGGATCAACAGTGTGTAAAATGTAGATTTTTGACTTAATATGAGGTTTGAATGAACTTTGTATTCAACCCAACGAGCAGTTAGCTTAACCTATTTTGTCGTGTTCTTATAAAGGTAATAATAATAATAATAAAACTTTTTTTATTGAGGGTAACACTTAATATTTCTCGATAATTTACGCATGACCCTCAGAAAAACAAATGAATAAAAAACACAAAAATCTATAAAACTATGATTTATAGGCGAGAATTTCAACATAAACTAACTAAGGAATTGCTAAAGATTGTCCACTTCAATTCCCTTAAGTTTGTTTTCGAAAGAAGTCAAGGTTGTATGTATATGGACAGTCAAATCAACTGGATTCCGATCGTACTTCCAGTGACATCGGAGAGGCATAAATTATTCTTTCAAATTCTGTTACAGACGACTCAACGCTTTCCGGTGAGGATTAAAGACCGGACTGGCAGGTCAGCGGTAGCCTGCGAGCAAGCTCTCCATTTTGGGAAGTCGCTAGAAGTCACGAAATAGCAACGACTTACGCTAGCGCGTTTTTAGCCTGCGTAGCAAACGTTTCCAATCGAGTTATTGCGCGAAAGTTAGAGCTTTCTAGACGAACCCCGCGAGGAAACGCTTGCTACGCAGGCTAGCGCGTTTTCTCGCAGCTCGTCTCTCTCGCCATAATTGAAGAATTTCCTTGCAGGCTAGGAGAGCGACGAAAATGGAACCTACTTAATAAAGTTTCACCTGAAAAAAATGTTCGAACTGGTAGAGTTTTAAAGGTAACCATATTTATATGTATTCCGGATAAAGAAAGGCCGAGTTAGCATTAGGCAAATTTACAAGTAATATGATGATCTTTTAAAGGCGACTTTTTTTGCAACGTATTCTACCGTTATCTAGTTTGCGAAGCAGGCGCCGCTTATATATTTTTTACAGGCCGCGCCCGCTCGAAGGGGAGAGGAGGCCCCCTCTCTTTTTCTCCCCTCGCGAGTCCTCGAGAATTCTTACTTCGCCCTAAAGAAAAAGCGGCGACTGCTACGCAGGCTAACAGTTATCTGGAGGATTCAGCACGGTTTTACGGACAAAACTCGGCAAACACCAAAAGAACGCAGCGGAATTCTTCGTCTGACCCTGTCGGCTGTCTCCTGTGTCCGAGGAAGACTGGGTAAAAACAAGCTGAGTCATCACTTCATCATTACCGACTTTGCTGAAGGAAAGGAGAGTTTCTCAGTACATTATATACCTATCTTAGAGTGATTTACGTGTTAGCATTAATCGTCACAAGAAAAGAGCCAAGATTTTAAGCCTGTAGTGATGTACGACTTCGCCTCGCTTGGCTCATATGCAGGCGAGTAGTGATGAACATATGTTTACCGCTAGGTTTAATTGTTGTTCAGAAATCCCATGAGTATATCGGATTGAGCTGATTATATTTGCCTTCGTAACAAGCGTTTCAAAGCGAATTTGTTGAACAAAAGCGTTCCACCTTCAACGAACTCGCGTTGAAACGCTTGTTCCGCCGCCTATAGCGGACAGACAGACTTAAGTTGTAGGGTTCCCAGAGATTTATGAGAGTTAAAACTAACAGTTTAGTGGAGATATATCGTTGTTTTAGTTAGGCAGTGTTGCGAAGACGAGGAGGGTGGGGGTGGTTAGGATTTTGTAAATACGGAAGATCGAAAATCTGGAAATTGTCTCTCACAGTAATTTGCTACATCAACCACCCCACTCTGCATAACTGCAAATCAACCCATGGGTGTGGCTCAGGACATTATACAAAGTCTTACATAAAGCATATACTGTCAAATTCTGCTTTGTTAACAAAATAATCTTGACAGGGAAAACTGGGTTAAACGGCAAAATTTAATTTGGTGACCAGTATGCAGGGCTGTCAACCCCCCACTTCTTCAAATATTGAGAATTGATGGGGAGGGATGATAAATGATGTCATAATGCATACGTCACATGACGTCATTTGTGAAAAAAACATGCAAAACAGATGTTATTGGAACTGTAACACTTGACCTAATTGGCCTACTTTGCACCAATAACATTATTGCTTATATTACAAAGGTATATTGGAGTTTGTGAGGAAATGTTCGATGTTAACAGTAAAATAGCTCAAACAATGCAATGTATTTGCAGTTATATTGTCAGAAAGTCGATTCTACAAGAAACGGCAAACTTGGGCGATTATCTAGGGCCGAGTTGTTCAAAGCTGGGTTAAGATAACCCAGGGTTAGTGCGAGATTTGAATTCAGATTTGAAAGCTTAAAAAGCATTTCGGTTTTAATTTTTTTTGTCCACAAGTTGATGATTGGAAGCTCTAAAAATAAGAGAGAAAATTATCCGAGAAAATGCTTCTGAACACAAGAAAAAGAAACCAGTTTTAAATTTAACCCCGGGTTAAACGCTAATCGGCCTTCGAACAACTGGGCCCAGGAGATTTCAGACTCTAATCTGGAGACCAGGAGAAACGGTTCAAAATCTGGAGTCTCCCGGATTATCCGGGAGAGTTGACAGCCCTGCAGTATAGGAGATAATCTAGGCATATATGTTACTGGGCCCTGAACACTGCTGTGTTTTCATTCAAGATCGGGGTATCAATAGTTTTGCAAATATTACAAAACCATTCATGCCAACTCTCCCAAATACGACACTGATCTCCCAGTCTCCCGTACGGGTCACCAAATCTCCCTGATAAAATCGAGTTATGAGTTTTTCTGTACTTTAATTTAGAATTTATTCCATTTTCTTCCAAAATTCAAATTTTCTTTGGTTCCTAATTCGGTTTCTGGGGTATTTTTGTACGTATTTCTTCACTGACGAAGACTATTTCGCCATCACAATCATGTCCATACCTCATGTAAGACTTAATAATAATGTCTTAAGCCATTCCCGTGTGATAACTTAGGGACTGGATAGAATTTTGCTTATGAGGGTGTTGGAGATGAGGGGGGGGGGGGGGACGGTGAGGTTGTTGATTTTTTGGGGGGGTAATGCAAAAGAGAGAAAGAGAGAGTCTCCAGATTTTAGATTTCCAGAGATTGGCATCTCTGCAAAACTGTGAGTTGACCAAACAAAATGGACTGGTTTCTTAGCAAGACAAGGTTTGAAAAATGTCAGCTTCAATGGTACAATGGTAATAATTTCATTGCCCCTGTAATTACCTTTTAGATCTAACAAATCAGGAACATTTCAGAAATGTTTGTATTGTTGCAAGTACATTTGGGAGTTTGTCCATATCTTGGGAAAGAGCCCCTTTGTTGACCTCACTGGATTATATTGTTTAACTTAATTTATTTCATGATGAAAAGGATTGATAAAGGAAACTGCATGTCTTTAAATAGGAAACAGAGTGGAACAAGCTTTACAAAAGTAGGAAACCTAAAACAACACCAGAGAGTCCACATGGGAAAGAAGTCTTACAAATGTAAACAGTGTGGCAAATGTTTTAGAGGAACAGTAAAACTAACAATACATGAACGAGTTCACACTGGGAAAAAACCCTATGAATGTAAACAATGTGGCAAGAGTTTTAGTCAATCAGGAAACCTAAAGTCACATCAGAGAGTCCACACGGAAGAGAAGCCTTTTGAATGTACATGGTGTGGCAAGTGCTTTAGCAGAGTAGGGGACCAGAAAAGACATGAAAGAGTTCATACTGGAGAGAAGCCTTTTGAATGTACATGGTGTGACAAGTGTTTTAGCAGAGTAGGGGACCAGAAAAGACATGAAAGAGTTCATACAGGAGAGAAGCCTTATGAATGTAAACAGTGTGGCAAGTGTTTCAGCCGAGCATTTACATTGAAGGTACATGAAAGAGCTCATACTGGAGAGAAGCCTTATGAATGTAAACATTGTGGCAAGTGTTTTCAACAGACAGGACATTTGAGGGTGCATGAAAGAGTTCATACAGGAGAGAAGCCATATGAATGTAAACAGTGTGGCAATTGTTTCAGCCGAGCATTTACATTGAAGGTACATGAAAGAGCTCATACTGGAGAGAAGCCTTATGAATGTAAACAGTGTGGCAAGTGTTTTCAACAGACAGGAGATTTGAGGGTGCATGAAAGAGTTCATACTGGAGAGAAGCCATATGAATGTAAACAGTGTGGCAAATGTTTCCGACAAACAGGAAATCTGAGGGTGCACGAAAGAGTTCATACTGGAGAGAAGCCATATGAATGTAAACAGTGTGGCAATTGTTTCAGCCGAGCATTTACATTGAAGGTACATGAAAGAGCTCATACTGGAGAGAAGCCTTATGAATGTAAACAGTGTGGAAAGTGTTTTCAACAGACAGGAGATTTGAGGGTGCATGAAAGAGTTCATACTGGAGAGAAGCCTTATGAATGTAAACAGTGTGGCAAATGTTTCCGACAAACAGGAAATCTGAGGGTGCACGAAAGAGTTCATACTGGAGAGAAGCCATATGAATGTAAACAGTGTGGCAAGTGTTTCAGCCGAGCATTTACATTGAAGGTACATGAAAGAGCTCATACTGGAGAGAAGCCTTATGAATGTAAACATTGTGGCAAGTGTTTTCAACAGACAGGAGATTTGAGGGTGCATGAAAGAGTTCATACTGGAGAGAAGCCGTATGAATGTAAACAGTGTGGCAAATGTTTCCAACAAACAGGAAATCTGAGGGTGCACCAAGGAGTTCATACTGGAGAGAGGCCATATGAATGTAAACAGTGTGGCAAGTGTTTCAGCATAGCACGTAACCTTAGGAGACACAAAAAAGTCCACACTAAACGAAATAGGGGTACCTATCATAGTAACAGACGTCCGTCTAAACGTTTGCTTCGTCAGCGCAATAGCGGAGGAAGTAACCGAGTTGATATGAGTTCAGGAATTAAAAGCAACCGACTGACTCAAAGAGACACTAGAAACAGAAGTCGTGTAGTAAACTTCCAATCAGCTACCGTTGAGACACACAGCTGTTGGATTTGTCAAGAGGAGATGAGTAGTGGAGTTCTTCTTCTTCAACACTATGAAAATCATATGAGACATGTAGAGGAAGATGAGCTCTAAAATTAAATGGTTCTCAGGGGCGTAGCTAGCGTTTCGACTAATTATAGGCCTGGCTGACTTTCATTTCCACATATCCTGAAAATTGCACGCTTGACTAGTACGCAATGACCTCACCAACACTTTGAGTTCTTAAGCTTTTTAGCTCACCCCAACAACACATAATTTATTAAAAGTGGTGAAGTGATCAGAGCAGAAATTTGTAGGCCCGGTCCTACAGGTCTGTGGGCTGGCTACGCCTCTGGGTCTCGTTCAGGTTTTCGTATGTTTCGTTTCTGTTCTGTTAGGTTTTGTCATAAGTCGAAGCATCGAAACGTTTGGTTTAGGTTACTTGTCATGAGTGGCTTTTATTTTCAGTGGGTTGTTTTATCTCGATGAAAAGTTCGAATTGTGATTTTCTTAGGTGATTTGATGTAGTTAGCAGATGTTGTTTTTTTGTGGACGGGAAGAAAAATTCTTTTGCAATCCCGTTATGTTCTTTTGGCGATGGATAATTCAAATTACTTTTTGAAAGAGAAAACATTTCTTAAATATTTTGAAATTTAACATATGGACAGACAATCCTGTGAGATGAGCTCGTTGAATATCTTTAGAAAATATAATAATACAATAAAGCAGCCAGAGGTTTTTTTAAAACAGTGTCTTATGAATGGCCGACTCTAGAGTGACATGGAGGAAAACCTTATGTTCGCCTCATTTCCTTGACAACCCATCCGCATAAATGTTGACATTTTTCCGGATTTGAACGCAAAAGGAAAGATAGCGGCTATGTTTCGGGGCGACAGCCTAAGGAAAAGGTTAAAAAAAAACACACACAAAATAGAATTCCGAGAACAGCGAGAACTGAACATTCGTGATTGCAGTTTATTGTGTGTTTTGTTGTAGCCTCGTGTTGAGTACTTTCGCAACCCTAGTGGTTCAGAAAATATACGTATCGAGAGCGTTCTGACTTTGTTCCTATTCGTAGTCAGGAAACACTTCTCAAATGGACTGACATTTAACATTTGATCAAACACGCCTACAAGGACTTGAAAAACAAATTGACCCGAGAGAATGCGAGCTTCCAAATCATCTTTTTCACTTTTGTCGACTCTCAAGTGACGTAGAATGCTACCTCTTGTTCAGAGTTCTTCCATGAAAAATTATCCAGGGCCCAGTTGTTGGAGAGCCAATAAACGCGAACCCGGGATTAAATTTTGATCTGCGTTTCTTGCTCTTCCGTTCAAAAGCATTTTATCGGTTAATTTTCTTTATTCTCTATAGCGTATCAAATCATTGCATTGCAGGCAAAAAGAACTAAACTGAATTTGCTTTTCAAGCACTCATATCTGATTTTAAAATTCGCACTGACCCTGGGTTATCTTAACCCTGCTTTGAATATCCCGGCCCAGGGTTACTTTTCACGTTTTTGACTCCACAAAAGCACAAGCGTCTCCTTGACCCGGAAGTCAAAGTGAATACCCACAAAAACACATTGGAAAACACCTTCTTACTATTTTTCCTTTTTCTTTCTAAGCGTTGTCTTCGTATCCTTCTGTCAAAAAAGAAATAACCACCCCATTTCTTATCTAAGAAAATAGACGCCATTTCGTGACGTGACCAGTGGTTTCCACGCGAAATGACGTCTGAGGAACGAGCGCACAAATTCCATACTGATGATGTGACACTATCCGGATCAGGGTAGTGCTTCTGACTGGTTGAGGCAAATTTTTAGCTAGTAAGACGAACTACCCAGATCTGGGCAGAATTGCTTTGATGGGATTATTCTTCTAACTCGTTTCTTGATACTTGTCAGGTTTCGTGATTTGGTAGAACTTTTAAGCACCGTTTTTTTTTAGCGCTGGACGGCAACCGTAAAAGAGTTTCTGCATTCTTAGGCGGTTGATTACTCCAAATTTTCGGTCAACTCGTCTCTATAAGAGTAAAGAAAAGAAGTAATACAAATTTGGTAGCGTCAAACCAACGGTAAAATCATCAGCATCAAAAATATTTCTGGAATGTTTAATATTATGTTGCAGAGAAAAGCCAATCGGGCGTGAGATGACGTCATTTTATTGCTACTAGCAGAATGCATTTCTTTTTTCCTTTCATATTTTGTTTGATAATCCTGGAGAGGTTTACATAACAAAAGCCCTAATTTGCATAAGAAAGCAAAACCCTGAGGTATTATGGTCGTAGTAGTCAAATGAAGTCATTGTGCAAATCGCCTTTTAATTTTGGCCAACAGCTGACCGGCGCGTCCCTAGATAAGATCCCAGAAACCATTGCGGGACGCATTTCGGCTCCAGTTCCCCTCTCGTTGGGCGAATATTTAAAGGCGAATATAGATACCATCGGCTCTCAACGTCTGAGTGAACATTAGACTGTTGCTAGCACCTTAAATTACCGTTACAACACTTTGCACCCTGTTGCAATCTAACTTTGTCACCTATTTGACGCGAATCAAACGTGATGGATCAACGGCGTGTAAAATGTAGATTTTTTACTTGATACGCGGTTTTAATGTACTGTGTTCTCAACCCTACGAGCAGTTAGCTTAAACTATTTTATCGTGTACTTGTAAAGGTAATAATAATAATAATAATAAAACTTTATGTTAAGGGTAACACTTAATATTTCTCGATAATCTACACTTGGCCCTCGGAAAAATAATGAATGAAAAACACAAAAATCGATAAAAAAAAAACCTATGATTCATAGGCGAGAATTTGAAGATAAACTAACGAAGGATTTGCTAAAGATTGTCCACTTCAGTTCGCTTAAGTTGTTTTCGAAAGACGTCAAGGTTGTATGAATATGTAAAGTGAAATCAATTGGATAACCGATCGTACTTCCAGTGACATCGGAGAAGCAGAAATTATTCTTTCAAATTCTGTCACAGACAACTCAACGTTCTCCGGTGAGGATTAAAGACCGGACTGGCAGAAAAGAGGTAGCCTGCGCGCAAGCACTCCATTTTGGGAAGTCGCGACAAGTCACGGAAGAGCAACGACTTACGATAGCGCGTTTTCTCGTGGCTCGTTTCCTTCGCCATAATTGAAAAATTTCGTTGCAGGCTAGGAGAGCGACAAAAATGGAACCTACTTAACAAAGTTTCACCTAAAAAAAATGTTCGAACTGGTAGAGTTTTAAAGGTACCCATATTATATGTATTCCGGATAGAGAAAGGCCGAGTTTGCATTAGGCAAATTTACAAGTAATATGATGATCTTTTAACGCGACTTTTTTTGCAACGTATTGTACGTTAGTTACTTTTCAGAGGCCCCGCCCGCGCGAAGGGGAGGGCATGGGGAGGGGAAGCCCCCTTCTCCTTTTCTCCCCTCGCGAGTCCTCGATAATTCTTCCTTCACCCTAAGAAAAAGCCAGACTAGCCGTTATCTGGAAGATTTAGCACGGTTTCACGGACAAAATTCGGCAAACACCAAACGAACGCAGCGGAATTCTTCGTCGGACCCTGTCGGTTGTCTCCTGTGTCCGAGGAAGACTGGGTAAAAACACGCTCAGTCATCACTTTATCATTGCCGACTCTTGCAAATCCTTGCTGAAGGTAAGGAGAGCTTCTCAGTACATTATATACATATCTTAGAGTGATTTACGTGTTAGCATTAATCGTCACAAGAAAAGAGCCAAGATTTTAAGCCTGTAGTGATGTACGAGTTCGCCTCGCTTGGTTCTTAAAGCACCCGTTATGCAGGCGAGTACTGATGAACATATGTTTACCGCTAGGTTTACTTGTTGCTCAGAAATCCCATGAGTATATCGGATTGTGCTGATTATATTTGCCTTCGTAACAAGCGTTTCCGTTTTCTCGTGTTGAAACGCTTGTTACGCCGGCCATAGCTGATAGACATACTTTAGTTGTGTGGGGGTCCTAGAGATTTATGAGATTCAAAACAAACAGTGCACTGGAGATTTCTAGTTGTTTTGGTTAGGCAGCGTTGCAAAGACGAGGAGGGTGCTTAGGATTTTGTAAATACGGAAGAAATTGTCTCTCTTACAATACTTTGCTACATCAACCATGAGGGTCAGGGCCTACACGAAGACTTACATAAAGTACATACTGTCAAATTCCGCTTTTGTTAACAAAATAATCCTGACAGGGAAAATTAAGTTGAATGGCAACCTTAAGAACACAAAAGCTTGAATTCAAATTTAACTGTGAAATTTGGTGACCAGTATGGGAGATAATCTGGGCATATATGTTACTGGGCCCTGAACACTGGTGTGTTTTCATTCAAGATTGGTGTATGAATAGTTTTGCAAATAATACGAAACTGTGAGTTGACCAAAAAGAAATGGACTGCTTTCTTGACAAGACAAACTTTCAAAATGTCAGCTTACAGTACAATGGTAAATAATTTCATTGTACCTAATTACTACTTGCATGTAAAAAATCAGGAACATTTCAGAAATGCTTGTATTGTTGCGTATTGTTGCAAATACATTTAAGAGTTTGCCCATATCTTGGGACAGTGCCCCTTTCTTCACCTCACTGGATTTTATTGTTTTAGAAAGTTGAGCCTTTAACAAATAACTTAATTTATTTTATGATGAAAAGGATGTCAAGAAACCTAGACCAACACCACATGGGAAAGAAGTCTTACAAATGTAAGCAATGTGCCAAGAATTTTAGTCAATCAGGAAACCTAAAGGCACATCAAAGAGTACACACGAGAGAGAATCCTTTTGAATGCAAACATTGTGGCAAGTGTTTCAGCCAAGCAGTTACATTGAGAGTTCATGAAAGACGTCATACTGGAGAGAAGCCTTATGAATGTAAACAGTGTGGCAAGTGTTTTCAACATAGAGGAAGTTTGAGGGAGCATGAAAGAGGTCATACTGGAGAGAAGCCATATGAATGTAAACAGTGTGGCAAGTGTTTTCAATATAGAGGAAGTTTGAGGGAGCATGAAATAGGTCATACTGGAGAGAAGCCATATGAATGTAAACAGTGTGGCAAGTATTTTAGCCATGCAGCAAATATGAAGAGGCATGAAAGAGTTCATACTGGAGAGAGGCCTTTTGAATGTAAACATTGTGGCAAGTGTTTCAGCCAAGCAGTTACATTGAGGGTACATGAAAGAGTTCATACTGGAGAGAAGCCATATGAATGTAAACAGTGTGGCAAGTGTTTTAGACAAGCAGCAAATATGAGGGTGCATGAAAGAGTTCATACTGGAGAGAAGCCACATAAATGTAAACAGTGTGGCAAGTATTTTAGACATGCAACAAGTGTGAAGGAGCATGAAAGAAGTCATGCTGGAGAGAAGCCATATGAGTGTAAACAGTGTGGTAAGTGTTTTCAACAAACAGGAAATTTGAGGATGCATGAAAGAGTTCATACTGGAGAGAAGCCATATGAATGTAAACATTGTGGCAAGTGTTTAAGCAGAGCCGGTAACCTTAGGAGACACGAAAAAGTCCACACTAAAGGAAGGAGGGGTACACGTCATGGTAACAGACGTGCGTCTAAACGTTTGCTTCGTCAACGCAATAGCGGAGGATTTAAGAGAACTGATATCAGTTCACGAATTACAAACAGCCAACTGACTCAAAGAGACTCTAGAAACGGAAGTCTTGTAGTAAACTTCCAATCAGCTACCGCTGAGACACACAGCTGTTGGATTTGTCAAGAGGAGATGAGTAGTGAAGTTCTTCTTCTTCAACACTATCAATATCACATGAGACATGTAGATGACGATGAGTTGTAAAATCAGATGGTTTTCGTTCTTGTTTTCATAAGTTTCGTTTCTAATCTGTTAGGTTTTGCCACTGAGTAAAAGCATGGCAACGTTTGGTTTAGGTTACTTGTCATGAGTGGCTTGTATTTTGTTTTATCTCCATGAAAAGTTCGAATTGTGATTTTCTTACGTGATTTGAAGTAGTTAGCAGACTCTCCTTTTTTGTGGACTTGAAGAGAAATTCTTTTTCAAGCCCGTTATGTTCTTTTCGCGATGGATAATTCAACCAACTTTTTGAAAGAGAAAATTTGTGAACTATTTTGAAATTTAACATATGGACAGACAATCCTATGAGATGAGCTTGTTGAATATCTTTAGAGAATATAACAATACAGCAAGAAAACGGAGGAAGTTTTTTTTTAAAAAGTTTTTTATGAATGGCCGACTCTAGCTTGAGTGACGTGGAGGAAAACCTTATGTTTGCCTTGTTTTCTTGACAACCCTTCTGCTTAAATTTTCACATTGTTCCGGATTTGAAGGCCAAAAAGAAAGAAACCGGCTTTGTCTCGGGGCGAGAGAAAGGTATTTTGAGAACAATAGGAACTGAGCATTCGTGATTGCAGTTTATTGTGTGTTTTGTTGTAGTCTCGTGTTGAGTACTTTCGCAACCCTAGTGGTTCAGAAAATATACGTATCGAGAGCGTGCTGACTTTGTTGCTATTCGTAGTCAGGAAACACTTCGCAAATGGACTGACATTTAACATTTGGTCAAACACGCCTACGAGGACTTAAAAAATAAATTGACCCGAGAGAATGCGAGCTTCCAAAATTGTCCTTTTCACGTTTGTCGACTCTCAAGTGACGTAGAATGCTATCTCTTGTTCAGAGTTCTTCAATGACAAATCATCCAGGGCCCAGTTAATGCAAGGTCATTAGCGCTAACCCGCGTTTAAATTTTAATCTGGGTTTCTTACTCTTCTGTTCAAAAGGATTTTCTCGGATAATTTTCTCTATTCTTTATAGCGCATCAAATCATTGCATTGCAGGCAAAAAGAAAACTGAATTTGGTTTTAAGGCTTTCATATCTGTATTTGAATTTCGCACTAACCTTGGGTTATCTTGACCCTGCTTTGAACAACCCGGCCCAGGGTTAGTTTTCACGTTTTTGACTCCACAAAAACACACGCGTTTCAGTGACCCGGAAGTCAAAGTGAATAGCCACAAAAACACATTACATTAGAAGACGCCCTCTTAATATTTTTCGTTTTTCTTTCTAAGCATCGTCTTCGCATCCTTCTATCAAAAAGGTAATTAACCACCCCATTTCTTATCTAAAAAAATGGGAAATGACGTCTGAGTAACGAGCTCAGACATTCCATACTGATGACGTGTCACTACCCAGATCAGTGTAGTGCTTCTGATTGGTTGAGGCCAATTTTTAGCCAACGAGACGAACTACCCAGATCTAGGCAGAATTTGTTTGATGGGATTATTCTTCGAACTCGTTACTTGATACTTGATACATTCTTGTCGAGGTTGGGTGATCTGGCGGAGCTTGAGGAACGGCGTTTTTAAGCGACAGACGGCAACCGGCGGAAAAAGAGTTTCTGCATTCTTAGGCGCTTGTTTAGTCCAAATTTTTCGGTCACTTAAATCGTCTCTATAAGAGAAAAGAAACGAAGCAGTACAAATTTGGCAGCGTCAAACCATATTACAGTCAAACAGGTAAAACCATAAACATCAGAAATATTTCTGGACTGTTAAATATTGCGTTGCAAGAAAAAAAGCAAATCGGGCGTGAGAAGCTAAACCGCAAAAAGGAACGTTCAGCGGATCCAGGGGAGAGGCCCGGGCCCCCATTATTTTTAGATCAAACTGAGGAGACCGCCCCCCCGCCCCCCTTGTCTTAAGGTCGCCCGTGATAGCTCAAAAATTTCTTCCCTAGTGCCACAGGAACAGCAGATTAGGATGCGTACTGACGAACGCGATTAAAGGGTTTTAAAAAGTGGCTGAGTATCGGCCGATGCCTGATCTAAGTCCCCGGGGGTTACTTAACACATTCTGATCGGGGGAGGCCCCGCCCCGAGGTACAACGCCTTACCCTTTTGTATACCATTTGCCTGGAAAAGGTACCCCTCTCGTATTATGCCTTCTATTGACAAATGGTTTCCCTTTCATATAAATATAACTACAATCCTGTTCAAAACGTTTGGGACACTTTGTGTTTCAGGTGAGGAAAATGTAATTCAAGTTGACCCCCCTCCCCCCTGAACAGTGTTGGATGTTACAAGTCAAACACTTTTTACATATTTTGCATACGCTAAGAACCTCAACTTTGTTCGGGGTGGGGGGGAAGAGATCTTATTAAGGCCGTGTTTATGAGTGTGTATCGCAGGTTAGCTATAAAGACCGTAAATTCCATAGAAAAACACGTGAAAAAGGGGAGGTGTCCCAAAACCTTTTGGCCAGGATTGTACTGATTGTAGCTCAGAACTTTGCATCCCTTTTACATGCGCCTTCTTTAAAATATGACTAAATCACAAAACCAGAACGTTTTCACTGCCATAAAATACATCTGTTAGCCATTTTGGGCCTTAGCTTTTTATCGACTGAAACGACAGATTGCCCTACCAATCCCAACCTTTTCATATACCTGAAGCCTGAAAAAGGCACCACTTTCGGATGGAGCCTCCCCATATAGGCCATTACAGGGAGTACCTTCCCCGGGGTCTGAGTCAACCTAAAAATGGGCGGTTTTTAGTAGTTCCGGGAAATAGTTCATGTGGTACAACGAAATCGCAAAATAAGAATCCCGTTAAAGATAGATTGAAGAAGACAGATACAGTAGACAGTGGCGGATTCAGACCTTCAGAATAGGGGGGACCCGGTCATCCAGACCCTGAGATAAGGGGGGGGGCGGTCTCAAAACATTTTTTTTCGTTTTCTAAAAATTAGGGTGGGGGAGTGGGGCCCCCGGGCTCCTCCCCTAGGTCCGCAATTGCTAGAACCCCACTAACTCGAACTAAGTCCCATTTCCCTTGAATTTCACCCCACTTTTCAGTCATTTTTACTCGGTTAACTCAAACTCGGACAACTCGAATTCCCCGCTAACTTGAGCTACATTTTCTTTCCCTTGATCAGAAAGTCGCTGAAAATTACTCCGATAACTCGAATTCTTGTTGTTGTAACTCTACTCGGATGCCATTCCATCAGCTCTTCTTGTTGTATAATCAGTAAAAAACACTAAAGCTAATAATATAACACTGGTTAACACTTACAGTAATTTGATTTTAATTGGTGTTACGAACAGATCACTTTTTATCTTAAAAAATGCCTAATCATGTACTGTTTCTGATAAAATGTTAAACTTGCCCTGCAGTAGCACTATACACTGCCGAAGGTGCTGAAAAATCAGTAACTATCAGTTTTTAACTCGTACTGAAATTAAAATGGAATTTTGGATTCGACCCCGATAATTCAGAGTTCGAGTTAACGGGGTTCTACCCTACTCGCAGGAATTTTTAATAAAAACCGCATGAAAACTCGTGGGTGAACCGGAAGTCGCTTAAATGGCATTGGATCGGGAAAATGATCACACAAGAAGAGAAGAACAAACACGAAGAAATTACGATGGAGTGTTTTAGTTGAGAATTATTCCTGATGAATCTGTTCGACCGGAATTCCCAAAGAAATCCTCTATCGACCTTTACTACGATTACGCCATACAGTACACATGTAGCTCTCACCACCCCTACCCTTCCCCCCTCGGGATGGATGGGTGGGGTGCGCGAAACTATAACATGCAGCTTAAATTCCCGGAAACAAAGAGCACTTAGTATTGTGTAGACTACGAATAGTCCCCATCTTTCCTCAGGGATAGTAGAGCATGCGAAACGCGCGCGCGCGTGAAAATCACCCCACGCGAGAAAAGGCGACACCTAAGTATTGTGGGACATCCTTCAACGAGGGATCAGCTTGACATGATCTCACATGAGAACCAGTTAAGAAATCTCTTACATTCTAGCCAGGTCAAGCGTATCCCCATAGACTGTAATGATGGATCAGTTACTTGAAAAATGAATCCATTAGTCGCTGTAGTAGTGGGCTGTTCCGGGTGCGCGGTGTTCAGAGTTGACGCAAAAAGAGGGGAGACTGGGGCGAGAGCGAGGGAAGTTCCTTCCCTTTTCCCTCTCCACAGGACAACTCGGATTAATATTAATCCGTGGATTATAATAATAATAGATTATAATGTGGTTATTATAATCCGGTAATAGATTATTATAATCCAGTAATAGATTATTATAATCCAGCAATAGATTATTATAATCCAGTAATAGATTAAGGCACGGCAAAAATTGGAAGGATTAGATTATTATTAATAATAATCATCCGGATTAATATTAATCTCTATTATAATCCAGATCAGAGCTATGACAGACAAACTGCAGACATTACACGCTGAACAGGGGACTGACGGGACATGACACTGATCACATCAGTCACACGATCACTTGCATATGTTAGAGCTGGTAGCGATGTTGAGCCTAGAAGTAAATGAAAACGAACAAGCGCCTCTGGGCCAGCGAATCCGTGCGGTGGGCACGTGTTTTTACAAGAAAGGGGACCTTAAGAAAGGGAATAACTACCAGCTGCGTAGGAATCGCGACAATCCCAAAGACACTAACTGTTTCGAGGTTCGGAGCCGGCATATCACGATGGCGACTATGAACATGAATTTCTCCCGTCTCCCGTATTACCAGCAGAGCTGAGACAACTGCCGACTTCTGCTACTTAAATATAATAACGTATAATAAGGA